GTCCGCAGTACCTTTGGGGGGTTTTCTTATCTTGATATTTTCCTTGGAATTCAGTGAGCATGTGGGTTTGGTTCACGCTGGGTCACTGGTAAAAAAAAAAAAAAAAAAACGTTCCTGTGGTTTTCTTCAAAATGGATCTACATGATGAATATGGAGAAAAAACTCCCTTTGATCATCTATTCACTAATGAAGGGGGGACATGTGGAAATGTGGTTCACTGTTCCGCCCTGGAGAGACGGACAGCAGGAGACTCTTTGGCCTTGTTTGGAGGATTTATGGAGATTGAAGATTATGGAGCAGCAGTTTGTGCTCTCTGCACAAATCTAAAAAGAACTTTGAACCTACACTCAATCTACTGTTTGCCACCTGAAGCCAAACATCTCACACCCTCCAAAGGCTTCGGATGCCTTGATTCCGTTTGAATGATATTCATTTGACCTCAAGTCACAATCCAAGGAAGAAAAATAATCCTGACGGACGTCGCTTTCAGTCAGTCGAGCGTGTGGAAGAACTATGGACGTCTTCGGGTAACGTATACATGCAAAGATGTTCTTACGAGAGCCAGTTTGGTTCACCTGATCTAGGAAAATGAGACAATCAAAGAGGACCCAGTATGTGGATGTTAGCGAGGGGCTCATTCTAACAAAAGTTCAACAATTCTGTGTTTCAGGTGATTATACACTGTTAAATATAGACTTATGCATATTCAATTTCATTTTTACTGATATATTCCTGTACTACTTCTTTGTAGCTAGTGCCATTTAATTTAGATAGATAGACAGATTTGACCAAAGTGCTATGAACCAATGTCCTTTTCAAAGAGTTATTAATAGGAAGTGAGATCCTCCGTCGACTGATCTGTTCATAAAGCATAACATGATTAGCCCTAACTGTTCATCTTAATCAGAAATATAAAAAACAACTTATTTATTTAGACCAAAAGAGCTGCCCCGTTGTTGAAATCCAATAAAATGGAATGTGCAGATTAATATTCCAGTCCGATTTGCTGAGTGTGTTCAGAGGAAATGAGCGCTGCTGTGCTTGCTGTTGTGAGTAATGCTGTAGCTCACAGCGACTCCTTGTCCAACGCAGTGACAGGAGGAAGGATGAGAGTCAGGAGTCCTGATTCATTTACCAAAGAGGAGGTGCTGCTGCTTCCCGGCATTGTTGGTTTGCTTTGGGGAAAAACGTTGTAAAGTGCAAACAGCCCATTTAAATGTGAGTCACCATCTAATCAACGCAAGACTGTTCATGTTCAAATCAAGGAGACACTTTCCACCTCAAAATCCATTTCATGCCAGTTATTTTAACAAACAACATCAACTCAAATCTCATTTCAGGGACTTTCAGCAGATGAGCCTCGTTTGCAGATCACATGCAAGAGCTCATTTCATTTGCACCTCGGCTTGAGATGTACGGTGAACACACAATACAGATTAGTTGACACAATAACTTCCACCTATTATTTAATACAATCAGGAATTATCCTCACAGAATGGTCAATGGCTATCCAGGCGGAGGGCTCGGACTTAATCAATAAAAAACCTGTTGCAGAGGGGAAAAGTCATCCTCTTCTTGTGAGAAATCAAAAGTATATTTAACTTGTTTGTGATTAGGTATGAACTACACATAGGAAAATAAGAATACACAAATCATCAAACACAAGCCACAAGTACAGACAGAACTCCAATGACGCAGTTCAGCTAAAAAAAGGGACAGATTGTTCCTTCTCCCTTACAGGAGCAGTTTAGTAAGTGTTTAACAGAAAAAACACACAATAATTGAGGACAACTGTGGTAACACTAAAGAGGTCACAGAGACACCGAGAGAACTCACAGTGTGCATGAAAAACATTTTCCCCCCAACATTTGTCCGTTCACCTGGGTTCCTGTGAGTATTGAATGTGCAGACTGTTCCAGTCTTAATAAAGTCCTGGTTGTTCCCTTGGAAACCATATGATGGGATGAAAGTGCTCCGTATGTAAAGAGAAGACAATGAGAAAATGATCAAAATAGTGTCCGTTTGATAGCAAAAACCCCAGTAAATTAAATGAGAGGCTTTACCATGGTAACAGAGTAAAGGTAGGTTTTATAGAGTTAAGCGTAACAAAATGTGGAGCTACAATAATACAACAATTACAACATAACGGTGAATTCTGGATACAATTGCGTTGTTTTACTTTCTCTCCTTTTTGTTTCTTTCTGACTCCATCAACTTAATTTCCCTCTCTGACCCTCTACAGCAGAAAACAAAGGCTTGAATCCCCAAACAAGGGACGGCGTCTTTTCCTTCCCGCTCTGCACTGAGATTAACTTCAGCGTGTGATCGGGTTCATGTTGACAGCAACAGATTTGGAAGTCTCATCCATCCGAGCGGATGCACAGAAAAATGCCACTTGAGTCGATTTAAATGGCTTAAAGAAGTAAGAGAGAGGGGGTCTTAAAGGGAGTTGCTGCACAATGAGAGAAGGAAAAGGGCTTGAAAGTGGATGTGCAATTGGAAAGCTTGAGGATATACCACGCTTAATGAATTCAAGCTTGAAGAGATTGGGAGAGAGGTTCTGCAAAGGCTGAGACCGACACATCGGACACAAGAGGGGATGCAGTTAATCAGAAAGGGAAAGTCTAATGGAAAAGAAGACAGGAGACTAATAGAGAGCTCATTTATTGGATTTTGAGTAGTGAAGGAAGAGTCTTCATCGCAAGTCAGGGGATTCTGACACTTCAGAGCAACATCAGAATGATGCACTTTGTGTAACAACACAACCGATGCAGGTTTGTTTGAATATTTCTGATAGACAGGCGACAGAAGCTCTAAAGCTTGAGCCAATTTATGACCAGAATAAAAAAAGGCAGTTGAATATGAATAAGATAGAAAACACAAAATACATTCACGCACACACACACACACACACACACACACACACACACACACACACACAGTGAACTGATGGCTGTGTGTTGAGTGATAGAAAACTACAAACAGAGCAAAACGGGAATAATTAATATGCCAGAAGCTGCTATGATGTAAAGTTTAATGCTTATAATATTTAAAGGATTCTGCTGCCACCAGGTGGCCCAAAGGGCGTATTGCATTTCTAGTAGTAACTTCAGTTTTCATGCATTAGTGCCAATAAGGTTTTAGTCTTATCGCTAACTAACTAATAGTGGTGGTACTCCAATTTAATTTGTGACATGTCAGTTATGTCGATGACACAAACAAGAACTTTGCCCATTTAGCTGCCAGCTACCAGTGGACACATTTACTTTGATCGAAGCCCTTGTTACCTTAATTGTGACAACATGTCACTACTACCACTGCAATGCTTTAAGAACGAAGCAACAACGAAAAGAAACAACAGACCAAAGCAAACACAGGGGGAAAGATTTGACGGATTGGCTGCTTTTATTGAAATACTCATCATTGATCCTCAAGTAGACATGAATGTAATAATAAACCGTGGTGCTGATATATCAGCATGACATTTATGTTCCAACATCCAGCAACTGATTTTTTTTTCTTCTTTTGTGAAGGTCTGGATCTTTAGGGATAATGTCCTCCATTGAGTTGAGTCCAATATAAAAGCTGTTTCTGTAATATTGTACAGCTTATTTTGAGCAATTCTGACATCATCTGCAGTAAAAACACATGCTTCAATAAAAAACAGTCCATGATTTTAAGGAGGTACGGACAAACTGTCCGTTTTAGCTGTGAGCAAGTCAAAGGAAATCATCTGGATCGGATTTGTCAGCAAACGTATACTCTTTGGATTTAACCAAAGGACGAATTCACTTCAACTCTCAGGGCTCCAAGTGATGCAGCCTCTTGCGTTTAAGCAATTAGTGCACTTTAGGTTGTTTTCAGTCCATTTATTGAGTTCCCAGGTCAGATCTGTCAACACCTTTTGAAACAAGACCACGTTTAAACTGAAAAATAGTCACAGCTCCTCCATAAACAAGGCGCCTCGCGGTCCAAACGTGTGTTTGCGTGGTTTTGACAAAGGACACGAACACAGGATCAGACCACACGCCTAACGTAAGTCTACAAGATGGTAAAGTGTACAGAGAGCACTAATGGCACCAAGGTTTCTATGTATTTTCTGCACTTGTCATCAATGGTGAATGTGAATTTTATGGTGATTTAAGGACTGTGACTACATGGGACTCTGAAGTGGCTCGATGACTACTTAAGAGGCACTTCAAAGATTACAGTTATTATAATTAGGACTACTAATGAACACAGTTGCTTGAAGGACGACGTATCCACTGGATGAAAGAGGACATTTGACTATGTGGTGTTTTGGAGTCTCAATAAGCATGAGTTTTAATAAGCATTTCACGCCATAGCAGACCCATTTTTAAATTCTCCTCAGTGGAAGTATGTATAAAATCAGTAGTCATGGTTACTTGTTTAGGACATTTGGACAAACTCTGGCTTCACTAAGATGGCTAAAGGTCGAGATATTTAGAGATGCAATCTCTCCAGAGACTTAACTGGAAAATTACAAATCAGCCTTTTGGGTTTTAAAGAGGACTTAGTGCTTAAACCTGAGCTGCTTGCTCCAACTGGGTTTTGGCAGCGTTGTTGGAATATGTTAAAAAAAAAGAATTCACCATTTTGTTACAGTGCTCAGTAGTGTCCCCAAGCTTTAATGTAAACTGATAACATTATGAAACTCAACCGAAACTCAAACTCGATATTTTTAAATAAAGGGCTTTCATTCATGGTCATTATTTTGCATCACCCTGATAGATTTGTGAATCCAAAACTCTTACAAGAGGTGGAAGTGCAGAGGGAGAAAGGGGGATAAATTTACATTTTCGTTCAAATGCATCCTCCGATTTAACGGCTTTGCAAAGACTTCCTCTTTCTGACTTCCTTCTTCTTCAACCCTCCTGGGTGTAAATACACCAGTCAAAAGGTTTGTCATTGGATTGAATGAATCAACATGCCTGAGCAACACCCCCCCCCCCCACACACACACACCCACACTGAGAAAAGCAGTTTCCTCGCCCCCGACACCGCCTCCTCCATCTCCGGGAGGACGGAGCCCTCAGTAGGATGCTGCATGACGGCGCTGGGTACCACAAGGCAGCTGCAGCAGGACGGATGGAGTTGTTTGCGTCACGTTGTGAGCGATGGATTTCCCTTGTTTTGTTTGTCACGTTGTGAAATCTCGGAAGACGCAGGAAGTGACATCGGAGGAATTTGTTTGCCAAATTAACGGCATTGACGGTTTTTAATTTTTTAATTTTTAATTTCGATTACAAAAAACACGCGCTTCACATCCTCGGGGATTCGTAAACTTTACTCTTCAATCGTTTTCTTGCGGATAAGGTACGTGAATCGGTTTGAAATGTCCGACTTCCACAACCGGAGCCAAAGCAGCGCACGTCGCAGTGACTACGTGTGGCAATATGAATATTACGACGAGGAGGAGCCCGTGTCCTTTGAGGGACTCAAGGCGCACAGATGTAAGCTTAATGCAACTGCATTACTGACACAATCTTCCATAGCTTTTACTGTGTGTGTGTGTGTGTGTGTGTGTGTGTGTGTGTGTGTGTGTGTGTGTGTGTGTGTGTGTGTGTGTGTGTGTGGCAGCAAGCAGGGGAACTCACCTTTTCAGCTGTTCATTAGTAGCATAATGGTGCACAACCCTCATTGCACACATTCCACTCCTTGCTGTGTGTGTGTGTGTGTGTGTGTGTGTGTGTGTGTGTGTGTGTGTGTGTGGCAGCAAGCAGGGGAACTCACCTTTTCAGCTGTTCATTAGTAGCATAATGGTGCACAACCCTCATTGCACACATTCCACTCCTTGCTGTGTGTGTGTGTGTGTGTGTGTGTGTGTGTGTGTGTGTGTGTGTGTGTGTGTGTGTGTGTGCGCTGCCTGCCTGCCTGTCATTAAACAAATGGTTATTTCTGGGCATGATGCACCTTTACTGGTAAAGATCAAGCCACTTAAAGAAACAAAAAAAAGGCCAATTTGATGACATGCGACCAAGTTACGGAAGTACTGAACGCTCATTAACTCGGTAATTGAGTTCTTTGCTCTCACCGAGAGAAACGTTCAGAATCAGACTCCAGGAGCAGAAAGGAGCTGAGGAGAGGATTGAATGATGTACTAAAATAAGAATCTTCCTTCTCTGATATTTCAGACTCCATTGTCATCGGCTTTTGGGTCGGACTTGCCGTGTTCGTCATTTTCATGTTCTTTGTCCTCACGTTGCTCACGAAGACTGGAGCTCCACATCAGGAGTGAGTATGCTGCATATTAAGAGGTCCACGGCTGACGTTTCCGTTCACCTTCACATCCAGCCCCCCCCCCGGGAATCCCTTCAGAAAGCCCCAGCAATTCAGCTCATGATGTCTTATGATGTGTGTGAAGGATGGAGGCTCCTCAGTTGGAGGATTTCCAGCATATTTGTACCACCCAGATGAAATAACAGTGAGAAGGAGGAAAAACAAAACATGAGAGACTGTAGCTTTTAGTTGATTTGGGTATAAAATAAAAGGGACCATATAAAAGCCTCAGATTTTCAGAGCATTCTCCTGCTTCAAACGTGACACCTGCTGCTGCGATCTTTGTCTCCCACCAGGAACCAAGATTCGGGTGAAAAGCGGCATCGGCCGGGCAGCTGCCTGGTGGACATCGGCAGCCCCCAGGACGAAAACGACAAAGCGTTCTCTCGCCCTTTGTTGACGGGGCCGCGCTCCTATTTTCACTTCTACATCAACGAAGAGGATCAGGGCCACGGGAAGAGAACGGGGAACCCCGACGGGGCCCGGGCCCAGCAGGGGACCAGGGGGACCGGCTCCTCCGGGACGGACGAGATGGAAGACGACGTGGAGGAGGAGGCCGGGGGAAACCAACCCCTCGAGGGACTCCTAGAGGAGAGTAAGACAGACGGGGAATGTGCCTTCTTTTCCCACTTCAACATCCCGAACTTTGTGAACCTGGAGCACAGTTCCACATTTGGGGAGGAGGATCTGCTGTATGAGCCGTCCGTCGTAGCGGAGCGGCGCCGTCACTCTCGGGACGCTCACTGTGACGGCCACTGAGTCTGTTTTCACGTGGCGGCCATGGAAATGACCTAATTGTAATATTTGCTTTCTTTTCACGTGGCCATTTGTGATGTGAGACAGGGACACACACACACACACACACACACACACACATACACACATACACACAGGCCTGCCAAACCTGCAAACCTTTTCCTAGAAAGCGTGTGAAGCTGTGAGAATCTCTTGTCTTTTAAGCAGGGAAACGATCAGATGAACAAGAAAGAGTGGGGGAATAAAGATGCCCCCAAAATTCCATTTCGAAGCGCACCGCACGGATATGAGATGCTGTTTACTCTAAAAGGTCGATGGTGCTTTTCACTTGGAGCCGGCTGCGCTGCATTGAATGCGGCTGTGCTCTTCGTTTTGTACAATTCGGAACGCCGCCGCGCTTTCTTTAATGGTCGTTACGGCTCAATCGCTCCAACAGCACACACATGCCAGGGGGTGTATCAGCAAGATGATAGTTAATCATTTAAAGGTGATGTTTACTCTAACCGTGTGATTAGTAGTTTAAAAATATAGAGGGGGTGCGCTGGGAACCACAAGGTTGGTGATGCAAGCCCCGGCTGCCCCATGTCCCATGTCGAAGTGTCCCTGAGCGAGACACCTAACTCCTAACTGCTCCCCGGGCAAAAATGTAACCAGCCATGGGTTAAAAATACAATGTAAGTCGCTTTGGATAAAAGCATCAGCTAAATGTACTGTAATGTAATGTATATTATAGTGGTAACCGAAAACCTTGCGTGAAAATGTGATATACTTTTTGTATACAGAAGTTGGAAATCATTTGACTGTCCAAATAAAGGCTAAATGGTTTGACAGTTTTTTTATAGACATTACACATAATGAAAGGTCACACTCGCGCTTTACCAAAGGTACCAACAAAAACTTGAAGCGGCTCAAATGAACATTTAACGGAGCATTTTAGCATCTAATAGTTCCGGGTTTTGTGCTCATGGCTTGCAAATTGACGGCTGTGGTTGACTGTCACAGGTCCCGTGGAGGCCACTCTGTCCAGCAGAAAATAAAGTGATAAGACTGCCTAAAAGCCCCTTGAGAAAATTAACTCATAAAATAGAGCAGTAAAGCAATAACAAGACATTTTTCCCCACGGGAGTTAGAGGAGCTGACAGGAAATGTAATATTATGGTAATGTGGAAAGACAGACTACTCCGAATCAATGCTAATGTCGCTCTGTGGGGAAATAAGCCGCTTGCTAATACGTTCGGTGAACCAACACAAAAAAGCCTGTAGGGTGACAATATATACAGTAGCAGAACATCCGTTTGGAAATGAACACTAAAGTGAAGTCCGAGGTGCTGCATTTGGGACTCAAGCCCCCACGCGGCTTTCAACATGGCGACGGCTGATCCAGCAGCTACCGTTGCTAACAGGGCCAAGCTAAAGGGTTGGGGATGAGGGTGCTGCGGGTCAGGACTTTCCTATCAGCAATAACTGATGTTAACGCTGTGTGGAACCTTCGAAATACGGTGGTAATGACTTTGATTTTTGGGGATAACAGGAATAAGACACGATGAAAACACTTGAGATGAGCAGTGCTGCCGCCCTGACTGGGGTCTTAATTCATGTAAAAATGTTCTTTGCAGTCAAAACTAATTAAATTACTTTGAGCCAGGTCCGGTGATGATTATGCAAAGGAACATTGCAAGCCTTCGTTGTCACTCTTCAGCAAATGTCCGAGACTATTTATGTGCAGCTGACGGAGGGATGTGCTGGGAATGGCTGAGAGTCCATCAATGTGTTTTAGATAATTACGTTTTAAAGGTCACGTGTTTCACTCTTATCTTCAGTGAAAGTTCCCATTTTTACAAAAGCAGCTCTTCGTTGTTTTGTCTCCAATGAAATTTCAAAGAAGCTGTCGAGGAGGGACGGAGACGAGGTGCAGAACAAACCCGATTTAAAGAGCTCCACATCTGCAGTGACAATCAACAACCAACGGAGGGGGCGATGGAGTTTCATGCAACAAGTCTGCCATTTGCCGACGCCCCCCCGATGTGGGAACTGTGGTGAACAGTTGGCATTTTGTTGACCAAGAATTTCTGTTGGGGGCTCGAAAAACAAAATCCCAATTTGAAGGTCAATACATTTTCGGCTGCAGCGAAGAAACAACACATTGTTTCGTCATTCTGTTTCGTCACGCTGTAACGGGCAATGTTGTAGAAAAAGAACCTTGTGAACAGATAACCTTCTTCTGAAAAGCCTCTGTGGTTTAAAAGCTGATTAGAAGCCTGCATCAGCATACGTCCACTCAAATGAGAGGTGCATAACGTCAAGCAAATTGAATAAAACCGAAGGTCATGAAATTGCTTCTTTAGGCTGACCCATTTGAGAGAGTTATCTAAACAGCTAATGTCCTTTGTTAAATTAGAATTAGAGCATTCGAGCATTAGTGCCTGAACTTTCTCATAACAGATGCACAACATAAATACACCATCATTATTATTGCTGATGACTCACTGCACCCAGCCATACTTAAAAGGCTCAAAGTGTCATCTATTGCTCTTTCTACACCAGAGTGCGAAGAGGAGTGTAAGGGCAGGCGGGGGGAGGGGGGGATTTGGGCTAATTTATTCCAAGAAAACAAACTCATTAGACTTGCTCCGATTGTCTACGGAGAAAAATGTGAAGGATTTTGAAACCAAACTCGCTGCCACACAGCCGGTTGAAATGGTATTAGTCTTCTTCCACGTCATCGTTGGGATTTTCATTTGAAAGAATCTTATTCCATGAGTATTAGACCAATGATCTGAACTCTCCGCTGACCGGTTGTCTGGATGCACGATGTGGGTTACTCCCTAGTTACCCACGTTTTCAGCTGTCCTGGATACGGACCGTGGCGGGTCAAAAGGATTAGTGTGATTTCCTGCTGTGGTCCTGTTGGGGGGAGACAAGGTAATGGGTCTGCCGGGCGGTCTAACTGGGGATCAGGATACATTGTAGCTGCTGGAGCGTTGGCTGACCAATAAGTGAGCTCTGCCGTGTTGATATTTTATTCAACAAGGCAGTCAAAATATGTGTGATGGGTAGAGCTCTCCCCTCCCCCCCCTGCCTGTTTGGCCACACCACCTTAATTGGTGATGCCTAACAGGTGTGACCAGGTGCTCTTTAAATGGGAGCTTTTGCCCCACTAGAGCTAGAGGGGGGCTTGCTGTAGGTCTCCCACGGCATAGGCACAGCACTCGCCACGTGCGGATGGGTTTGAGCGGAATCTAGAGGTATGTCAGGGGTTTTCTGTTTCATGTTTTAATATGCTTTTTAGCAGTGAAATGTTTATTGGCGTTATTTACCTTTTCTTTCTTTTATACAGGAAATGATCAGGTGGTGCAACGCTGAGCCTGGTCACTGCTGTTTTTGCCTTTGATTTAAAATAGATTATGGTTACCCGGTTTATATAGTATCTTTGATTATGAATTGCTAATTTGTTTTCTTTCTGGGTTAGTGTCTTTGTTTTGTCCTACATAAACAACCATTACTGCGCCCTATACTGGGGGTCCCTTTAATGCCAGTGCAGGTGGGCATATAGTAGGCCTACAGGGGGTGGCTCACGAGGTGGAAGGCCCTTTCGGTTTATTTTGTTTGTTTGCTGTGTTTTAATTCTTTTTGATTTGCTGTGTTTTCTTTCCTTTGACCTGGTGGTGGCCCCCTTGTCCCCTTTTCACTCCCCCGCCCCGGTGGGCCTCAAGTAGTCACCTTGTACTGGTAGGGTACCCCAGTATAGTAATCCTTTTTCAAAGCATAGATTATATTTTGCCATAAAACCGACCAATGTTTCTGGATTGATTATTTATTTTCTTTTAAATATTAAACCTACTTGTAAATTAAAAAAAACATTATTTACAAAACTGGAACTTCACCTCTCTGCTCCCTTTCTTTTTCATTACAACTGATATTCTTTGGGTGAGAGTCCCAAAGTGACGTTGTCACCCTTGTGACCAGGCGAACGGCCGCCCCGGTTACATATGTCATTTCTTTCCCGGTGGAAGGCTACTCAGGTTTCGGTCTATTGACATGAAAAAACAAACAGTTGCTTCCTCCTTCGCAATCTCTTGTTCCAACCATCTATATGCCTTTGAATCGTTAGCATTATAATTAGTGCAAAAGTTTGGCCATGAAAGTGTGAGGGGCAGCTACAAAGTACAACCCCTTAGATTACAATCCTAGTTTTAAAAGTTTAAAGAAAAATAGGCAGATGGTTGGAACTAATCTTGAATAACCCAAGAGCCTCCCTGCAGCAAAATACGGAAACTATTGACTCCGGCCCCTGAAGTCTGAACCGATCTTGGTGGATACAGAGAAAGAGTTTTTTTTTTTTTTATCTCTCTCCGTCAACAACAACAAAGCAGCTGTTTACACACAGCGGAGCTGCTGAATGTAACAGGAGGAGACCACTTGAGCAGCTGCCAGGTAAGCATGCCTGCAGCAGTATGTGACGAAAAACACCAGTAGTAAAATGTGTGAAATTTGCATACTCCGTGTATCACAGGTTCCAGGGTGTGTTGAAGGCAGCGGAGGGGACGAGACATTGAACGGTGCATTTTGCCCCGGGATTTATTCACATGTCTTCTTTTGTCACCTGCTTGTTCAATTGTCTCTGAACAAGGAAAAGCGACACATATCTGGGTGGTAAGTATGTGTGCTTCAAAAACTTGTTCTGTAGAGGAAGTGCATTCAATTTTAAAAAATGAATGTCTTTTTTCTTTAACTCACCTTTCTGTGCTGACGTCACCGGGGATACAGGCCTACAAATGTTCAACCCCCCCCCTTCCCAATGAGGTTTGCAATGAGAAAAAGAACAAGGCGATGTGTAAATGTTTCATGTGGCGTATAGTGAGGCAGGTTTCAGCTCCCGTGGCACTTTAATAATTCATGAAAAAGATACAGAAGGGAAAACACAGCGTGCATTGTGCGTGTGTTTGTGTGTGTGCGAGAATAAAAGGGTTTAGAGGACATGCATTGTATTAAAAAGTTCGATCTCGGACCAAATGAAGACCACCATTTGATTCTGAGAGGCCTACATAACAATGTAATAACATGCTACGCGTGAGAGAGTATCTTTGAGACCTGTGATTATATTTACAGCTTAATTACGTGCAGAACACGGAAAAGAGTCTTTTCATTTTAATAACACAATTAAGTGTCTATATGGGAGCAACGCTGGTGGAGCACGGTCAAAGTTATGTATTTTGTTTGCAGAATCGACAAAGTTACACAATAAGCCGCCGCATCCGTGTCGCCGCGGCTGCAGCCACAAGGTGTGTTACCTTGCTCGGGCAGATTCCAGCCGAGCCTCAGCGAAAGGAAAAAACTAAATAACACCTCCAAAGCCGCACTCGCATTGTCAACTCTCCCGTGGTTCAATGCGAGAGTGAGACTTCATACCTCCTCACGTTGATATTAATAATATATTAATCAGGTGCAGGCAGGTTCCCCCTCACGGAGGCAGCGGGGCACTGAAAGGCTTCTTTCTGCTGGAGGCCTTTTCTCTCCGGGCTGCATTTTCAACGGTTTATTCCCGAGACAACCGAGGAAGAGGAGGAGGAGGGGGCGAGAAGAGAGAAACACTAATTATGGTAAGAGCTCAGGCTTCGTCTCGGCACATGGTGCTGCCGGGTGCTTTGTGGGTTGATAAAACCGTTTCGGGTCTGTTGTTTGCTTTGGTATCAGGGCGCCTGAAACCTGTTTGACCTCCGACCGGCTTAACGTCACGCAATAAAACGTTTACAATCAGATGAATGAGCAAAACGTTATCTCCGTATCAGCTCGGAACGTGTGACTCTGTAAACGCTACGGAACACTTGCCTGGATCTTTTATCGTTAATGACGTGTAATAACAGAACCATCTATAAAATGTAGATATAAAAATGTTTTTCAATCCAATAATTGCCTGAGACACTCCCTCTCCTAAAGGCAGTGCGGGTTACGTGTCACACGGAGGAGAAGAAAAGGCTTTATTCAAACCTGTCTTGTGTGTGGAGAGCTTTATTTGATGAGAAATGAATAAGACAGGATAATAATAATAATCCTGCAGAAAAAGTAGCTAAATGGTTAAATTCCGAGACTAAGCAGCATGGAAAACATTGGGTTCAGCTGCCCGCCAAAATAAAAAGGGAGCACACAGGTCTGCAGAGCAAACAACCAGTTCAACATGCCCCAAAACCACACAGTCAGTGCGTCATTTCCCCTGGAAAAGTTTATTCAAACACTGCCTCTCGCTGCGTTCAAATACTACCACACGTGTAGGAATTCTGAGCTCAAAGCCCAACATTGTCCTGGACTGCTGCAGAGAAGTGTCATCAATGTGACTTTAGTCTTATAAACCAGCGTTACTGGGTCTATTTCCAAAATGTAGTGTTCATGTAATGCATGTTCATGTATGAGTGTTATTAGATACCGTTTGTGCATCATATTAAATCTTCTAGTCAATACACATTGTTTTCAGAAATAATAATATTTTTTAATGTGTGTCAATTCCAAATACCTCCATTGCAGTACGCTTCAAGCATTTATTGATCCGAAACACCTATTGGTAATACATTACTCATCCACCCACATATACTTTATATAAAGCTGTAGAGTAAAAAGTGCCGTATTTGCGTCAGAGATGTAAGCTTGGCTCCAAATATTATATTACGCTGCAAATACTAAGTAGCTTAAGGATCAATTGCTCTGCATCTGTGTTAAGGAACTGTACATTCATGCTTGTCAAAGTCACCGCAGTGACTTTAATGGGACTGCCTGGGAGTTGTTAGGACATGATTGCAGCCGGTTATGCAATAAAACCAGCTCAGCCAGACTAACGCTAAGTTCAGGGTTCAGGTGCGCTCGCGTCGGACGTTTACGAGGAGCACTTGAAGGCAACGCGGAGCCGCGTGTGCGTCGCTGGAGGAGCGATGTGACAGTCTTCGTAGTTGTGGATGCAAGGAGGACTAAACCCAACGTGCAGTAGTTTGTCAAGCATCTAGTATCTAGTAGAAACTGAAAACCGGGTTTGTTTTTAATACGGCCGCGAAATATTCTTCTGTGTCTAATTGAGGGTGAGTTGAACTTAAACTGCTGCCAAAAGGACTTAATTAAGGATGGATCACTTTGCTATGGGAACATTTTTACATTTTTGCGATCGTTTTTTGCTTTTACACACTGCTATTGTTTATCCCGAGGGAATGATTTTGTTTTTGTTTTATGCTCTTTAGGAGTTTTTGTTCTTACCAAAATCATGTTCACAACCTACGTAAAGAATCTGAATGATATGGTATTTTCTACGGTAAGCTCACAGGTTATAAGAACTCTTGCATGTATTTGCTATGCTTAACCATGCATGCAAGATTATCTATGACCAAACCTCGATTATTCAAGCCTGCACTCTATTTGCTTTGTTCATGGCTCAAGTACTATTTGTTTTAACACGTGTAACTGCTCTCAGCTCACTTGAAGTTTGCGTGTATTCGTTGGAAAGGTGCATGCTCATTAACCGCCGCTGCACACTGAGTCATTAATGTCAGCTACTCTCTGTTTCGCTTTAGTCTGAGAGCCCCGAGGAGCAGCAGAGCACTGGAGTCTTGGGCCGAATCGGGAGCTGGCTCTCTCCATGGAGGGGAAAGGCTCCAACTAGTCCCACTGAAAATGCCTCTGCGAGTAGCGGTCAGGCTCTTAAGTCAGAGGAGGAAAAGGAGAGTGAGGAATCTGTGAGACTCTGTGGGACAGGGACACGAGAGTCGGAGCAGGAGGAGGAGGGCCGACTATCCAATCGCAATCCACTCCGTCCCTCCGGAGACATTTTCCCTTGTGAAGAGGTGGACGCCACTCGGTCTGCCCACAGAGACGGCTCTGTTGCGAGCAGCGCTGAGAAAGCGGATCCAAAGAAGGAGGAGCTGGTGGAGTGCAGGACAAAGAGAGTCGTGCAAGGCAAGCAGAGGGAGGAGAGCGGCACCGGCACATTAGCCGGCGGGACAGACGCCCGTCAGGTGACACATCAGTCCTCCTCCGCAGAGCAGGGCGTGGCGAGGGCGTCTGACCTTGCCCCCGGCCGGCCTCACGCACAGAGACAAGCGCAGGCGGGCCGGAGGCTCCATGTGTACCTGGAGGAGACCAGCGTCACCCACTGCGACCAGAACACCTGCGCTGGACAGGACATCGTCCAAGTCACCAAAAAGAACCTAAACGTCCTCGCCAAAGCAAATTCATCTCCAAGTTTGGATTTGAGCAAAAGTTCAGCAAGAGCAGAGGACAAACGGACAAATGTGAGGCCTGTAGTTGGGGGACAGAGTTATTACAGTGCCCTAGTGGGGGTGTCGCTGAAAGCACACAAAGAGTTGCAGTCAGAGCCTGAAGCTGAAGGACCAACAGAGGCTTGCAGCATGGGGCGTAAAAACGCAGCCAGAAGGAAAGTCAGGAAGAACTCTCAGGGAGAAGAAGGCAACAGCTCCCAGGGAAAGATGTCCCCCGGCGTCCAACATGTCCCAGAGGGAATCTCCACAACAGGCGACCCAGTAACCAGCCCTAAAGCCAGAAGTCCAAAGTCTGACGTGGGAGAGTCCTCTGTAAGCTCCTCCCCAAAGCCCGACGCGCCCTCTCAGGCCTCACCTGAAGGAGCAGAGAATGAGTCACCCTGCCCCGATAAAGCCGAGCTGTCGGACAACCTCCAGGACTCAAACTCAGTCATCGCAGCCACTCCGCCACGTGCAGTTGATGGACCCGCAGACATGGAGGGTGACGGCAGTGTTTACAAAGTAGAGCGGAGGACGGAGACACCAGAGTCCAAACGCAGGAGTCTCAAGGTTTCTCGAAGCGAGGTGAAGTTTTTTACTAAGTATGTGCCTCTGGATCCTAAGAAACATTCGGCCGGAGAATCCGAGGAATTTGAAGCAGCATTGAAGAAGCACAAAGATGAAGCAAAGGATTACCAGAAAACAGAGCGTGATGCCAGGTAAGTCTAAACCTTAACCGCACTGATTTAATGTAGAGAAAGCGGGTTGTGATTTGTCAACAAATGAAACAATGAATCATCAAATGTCCAGGAGCTGTGATGTCTATTGAAAACCTTTCAAATATCACTCACTTGTTTAGGGGCAAATGTGCCCCTCTAACATTGTAATATACCTGCGGATACCTGTATTGCACCAGTGCTGTGAAAGGAATGTGCTGAGTGGTCAAACAATGGTTTGAGTCATAACACAAAGTTCAACCCTGTGGTTGTTCCTGTGACGTTCTGACTGAATGTAAGAATGAGACTTAAATAAATACCTCACAACATTAGTCTGTTGCAGACAACTTTATACGTGTGTAGGTAGTTGTGCATTTGACCCATTAGATGACCCATAAATGCGTTGCTGAATCCTTCTCCTCTCATCATACGCAGACTAAACAAGCTTAAGAACATTGACGAGGAGCCCAAGCCAGTCGCTGGCGCCGTTTCGGATAAAATCACCCTCTTTGAGCGCCCTGCAGAAGGAGTTAACAAACGGACCATCCAAAGTCCGAGAAGCGCCGACGTCTCTCCAGTGAGGAACGCCCGTTTATTGTTGTCAGAAAACAGGTCGAGATCAGTTGAGTGTTCCAGCACGGGCAGGTCCAGCTCGCCATCGGCCGTCGGGGACAGTGCGATGACGATCAAAGACCGAGCGAGGAACTTTGAGGGGGCATCTGAAAGAAAGAAGAAGCCGGTGATGCCTCGAAAGCCAGACATTGTAGGAATGTCTCAGAAGGCTACCTCATCTGTTGTACCAAAGTCATCAGAGGTAGACAATCAGGGTCAACTGGATACCGAAAAGCAAATACAGCAAGCAAAGCCTGAGATAACATTAAAACCGGATGGACAAGATAGCACCGCTGCAGGGTTAGAGATTTCCATTCCAAAAGAACAATCAACAGACTCCAATTCAAACAGCAAAGTGTCCGGGAGAACATCAGACCGGGGCACGAAATCTAACAGTGTTGAAACGAATGTTCCGCCTACAAGTCCCGGTGATTCTAAAGAACTGACTGACATGATCAGCCCACAGGCCAAAGGCCCAAGCAGAAAAGGCCCCCGCTCCAAAAGGAGAAAAGGCCTGGAGCCCACCGGCCCCACCAGCCCGACGAGTGAAAGCCCTCCGGATCGCTCCGCGAGTAAGCCACAGCTCACTGCTAATAAACAGCAACAGGTGGACGAGGCCGCTTGTGCCCCTAAACCACTCACGGAGAAAGCCTCATTTCCATCCGATAGAGCCCAGGGAAACACAGAAGCCCAGCAGGAAGCGTTGAAGAAAGAGCCACAGGTGTTAGGAAATCAAAAGAAGAAGTTGGATTCTTCATTTAAAAAGAAGAGCATTGAGAAACCAGTGAACAGACAGGAGGGAATACCTGAACCGTCAATCAACAAGGATGAACCCGATACTGCTGCTGGTAGCAGCGGAACCAAGGCGCCGGTCGACAAGGATCCTGTTATTTCACCTCAAAAGAAGAAAGAGGCAGGAGAACACGGCCACTTATTCCCTCGGAGGAGAGAGAAGGCCTCCGAGGAAGGCACAGAAACTTCCACCTCCTCCCCCACCTCCGCCGCGCCGGTAGAACAACCTATTAAGAAGACTGGTTTGATAGAGCAAGAGCCACCTGTTGAACAGCCGAAAGAAGAATCACCAGTGGAGGCTAAATCTACCGAGGCGAATAAAAAAGACACGGGGCGAACACAGAAGGACGTAGAACTAATAGATCAGGCTTTGAGTAAAGATGCTGGCAAATTGGAACAGGCTGAGAGCAAAAAAACGAATCAGACTGAGAAGCACAACAGAGACAAAGCACAGCAGCTTCTGCGTCGTGATAAAAACACGGCCGCGGTTTCAGAGAGCAGACGGGGTTTCTCAGAGGCAGAGGGGTGTGCGGTGAGGAATGACGCGGGCAAAGAATTCTGAAAGAAAAGATGAGCCACAGCCAGCGGAAGTCACAACAAAACCAGAATCAAATCGCCCAGAACCAGACCCTCCGTCCTCAGAACTGAGCAGGCCCCAAACCGGGCCTCCGCGGTCGCCGGCGAGGCCTGCGGAGTTCCCCGGAACGGCGAGAGACCCGCAGCCTCCTTCCGCGTCCCCGGAGAAAACGGAGAATTCCCCAGATGACTCACGTGCGGGTGGAGCTGACGGCGCTCGCTCCCCGAGGCCGAAGCCGATCACCACAGCAACCGCGGCCGCTGAGAAAGCGGCTGTGAAAGCTGCGGACGGGGCCCCGTCGGCGCTGGCGCCCGCGGAGCCCGGTAGCGTGTCGCCAAAGGGTCCGTCAGATAAGGAGGTTTTGCCTCCTTCTGCCTCAAAACCTTTGAGCGGCGGCGTAGCGAGGCAGGATGCTGGTGGGTCCTTGAAAGACTCGGGAGACGTTACGAAACCAGCTCCAACACCTCAGCAGCGTGAAGGATCTCCCGATATTGCGAGTGCAAGCGAGATCACCAAAGAAACCGATGGCGCTGCTTCCGACCCCAAGGCCAATGCGGTAGAGAAGACAGTGAAGGAACTTTCACCTGTGGCTACATGTCATATCTCCCCACCTTCACGACTCAGCGCAGTCGAGAAGGAGCAGGCCAAGGAAAAACCAAGAAAAGCTCCGAGAGGAACCCCTCCCCCGCGTGCTAACGACGCGATCCAAGACATGACCCAGCATCCAACCGCCAAGAAGCACCACTTTCCTCGGGGGCGAAGCAGAGACGATTCTGAAACCCGGCGAGATGCTCCTTCGAGCTGGCTGGATGTGGATTTCCCCAGACGGACGCTGAAAGTCTCGACGGCCAAACTGACCTCCTCTGGAAGTGAGAACAATCTTCTGGACACCTCCGGCGACCTGGATGATAACAATTTCATTGAGAAAATCCGAAAGCTTTGTGCACCGTTCTCCCTCCCGCCGCGCAAACACAACCCCCTCCGCACACCGCAGCCGCCGTTCGCCATGCCCGCCATCAAGGAAGCCCGCTTTGAGAAGACGTTTGACCCCGAGGAGTTCAAGTTCGGCTTGAGCAAGAAGAGCCAATTCAGCGTGGACGCGAGCCCGAGCCTCCTAACCTCCAAGTACCAGGAAAAGGAGACAAAAAACATCCTTAAGCCCGCCAGGGCGAGTTTGGCGGACAGGAGCATGCTGCTCGGCATTCTGGACCCTCACTCCCGCCTCAGGGACAACACCCCCGTCAAAGATGAGGACGATGTCAAGGAAGAGAGAGACGAGCAGATCAAGGTGAAGTCTCGCCTGGAGGGGAGCTGCGTCCTCAACAGCCTCAGCTCCTCCATCCTCAGAGCGAAGAGGAATGGAGCCGTGTCACCCGGCGACGCCCCGCAGCTGAGCCCCACACTGGAACATCAGCCGCCCCCGCCGAGCCCGACCGCCGGCGCTGCACTCAGAGACACGCGGGCCCCGAGCTTCAGGGAGGAAGCCCGGACCGCCGGCTCTGTGCCCGGTGACTCAGGCCTTCCACTTCCTGCTTTTAACGACACCAAGCTGCCGGACTATTTGGAGAAGTACCTCCCACAAGAACCAGCGAAGCCAGAGCACAGCATAAAAGGAGAGGAGCGAGTCACAGCCGAGGTCAGTTTTTTCGGATATTTTCCCGAGCTAAAGATATTAAAAACAATTTTAAAATGTCATGCAAACAAATGAGTCTAAGTAAGACAAGTAATGATGTCATACTCTCAGAGCCAAGTGAGAGGTTTTAGCGTGTCTAAACACCAAAAAATGTATTCTGAGTAGTTTTTTTAGGGTGTTGGAGTAGAGCAGCACAAGCATAACCTTCACGCATACCTGATTTGGTTTGTTTTTGTATATCAGGTTACTGGAAAAATGACATCTGCAGCATCTGGAGTCGAGGCAGACCTCGCTGGGAAACTAGGTCCAGCGCTTCCTGCGCCTCCACGTCTTCCTGAGATTCCTCCGGGCGCACAGCCTACCCGGTTTGAGCTTAACAAGCCGCCGGCTTTGCCACAGGCAGTGGTGAGAAATAATGTAAGTGTGCAGCTTGAATACTATTAAGAGCCTCCTAATAGCTTAGTTAAAACATGAAAGCTGCATATCTTCAGACAAATTGTTATCTGGAGTATATAAATTTAACTTGTGCCAACTTTTAACTTTAATTATAAACATAAACTAGCAAAGCTCTTTCCAGAACAGCTCTGAAATGACGTCAATATCTGTTAGGAAGTCAATTAGTCGTCTAAAACAAATTGGCAGAATCATCACAGGATATTTGAACAGAACACGTCTGGCCTTCATACAACCTTCCCAAGCAAATAGTGTAAATTACCTTAATCAATTAATCAATGACCATTGAATAATTGTTACCGAGTTGATTTGATGAGCTTTCTATGTACTACTTTTTTTTTCAGTCTTTGTCACTATGAAAATGATTGTATTTTTTCATTCCAGATAAGAACTCAAAAGGGATTTCACAAGCGCCCCGGAAAGGTACAGTAGTCACCGCGTTGCCCAAATTCAACGAAAAATAGATGACGGGGGGAGGGAATCTGAACAGACGACTCCCTGTCCTGCAGAAACATCTGCTTTTAATATGGTGTTCGTGGGGGTAAACAGAGTATTAAAAAAAGCAGTGCGAATGCTCAGCTGGATGTGATTACAGTCTGATGCCAACGCAGTGCAAACATGGTGGAGCTGCATTAGGAGCACTAGGCCTCACTTCGGTCTCGCTTTAGCTGGAGTACATTTGACGAGGGCTTTTCAACCTTCTTTCTGCAGAGAAGCCGGCCTGTATTAAATTAAAGTGCAGCATTACATGAATCGTACGTCCTGGTGGTTTTGTTAGCCTGCGTCATTAATGGGGATTGAAGGGAAGCGAAATGCTATGTGAATTCCGCTTTATAGTGAAGGAGCAAGCATGCAATGTCATATTTATTTTTTTGGAGACTAACCTTTATGTCTCCGCAGATGGTGTTGTTTGAAAAACCTCAGTTCAGTGGCCAGGTGCATGAGATCTACCGGGATATGGCAGATGCTACGTCTTTGCAGCTCTCGCCTCTGATATCTGTGAAGGTTGTTAGAGGATGGTGAGTAGCTTCGTTTAAACCAGAACATTCATACTGCTGTGGCCTGTTAAGACCTCATACATTTTACTTTTACCAGTAAACAAACAAAAGTTTCTTTTTACATTCAGTGTTTCTCGCCAAAAATAATTGTGCATTTTCTTCCTCATAAAGCATTTTTTAATTTTGAAACCTGCAGTGTTTCTGTTTCTCTGCTGGAGAACGGCTGTTTCTAGACATGCTTCCCCCACCTACACCTCAGTGCAAAGTGTGCAACCAATGGCAGGAATTTGGATTGAATGCTCATGTTCATGCATGTTGGGCTCTTGCACATGTGCACTTTAACTAAACTGGGACGTCAAATTAGCTAGGAGTAAAAAATGTAAGCTAGATCTCTGTGTGGCTTTTCCATAGAATAGCAAAAGGGTTAGTTACATAATTCCTAGCAAATGTATCTATTGAAATAATGTGCAGATAAGAATCGCACCATGCCTTTCTAATTATGGAACAATTAGATAATGACTTACTGGAAAAACCTGTCTGGCTCTGTCAAAAGGTTATAAAATCGTCCAAGCAGCACCTCCGAAGGTAACTTATTAACCGACCATGTCCCATTAGTTGAAGCAGTATAATGATCAGTTTAAAAAAGTTTAGCCAAACTATGTATACTGTGGTTTCCAGGCAACCAGCAGACGCCTTTGGGAGACACTGCTCCTGCTTACACATCAATCTGTGATTGCATCACACAAACAGGCTATAACATGGTTTAGGGTGAGTTTTAGAGAAACTAGTTATCAGCTCTTATCTCCTTTAAACAGAGCAATAATTTCCCCCCTGATGTTTTTTATAATCCTAATGAGTTAGCACCTTAGCACTTTCTATTTTTACCACACGCATTAGTCAGTTCTCTCCCATTTCCTTCCAACGTGTATAATCATCAGGTGTTTTATTTTTCACTGCAGTTGGGTGATCTATGAGAAGCCGGACTTCCAGGGACGCTGCATCGCCTTGGAGGAGGGATGCAGTGAATTGACAAACATGTGGGCAGACTCCGGTCCGGAGACAGAACCACAGAACAGCCCACCAATGCTAATAGGCTCGATTCGACTGGCTGTCTCGGTGAGTGCAGCGCACATGTACTTCCACCCCACGGTCAGCTTATATGGCCCCGTGAGCCTCAGCCCATACGTGATATTGCTTGGATGCATCGCAGAGGAATGATTTAAGAACTACTGCTGATTACCGTGCTGGTTTTACCCCCTCTGTGTAGGATTATTCCCTCCCCCACATTGATCTGTTTACTGAACCGGATGGCCTCGGCAGGGTGACACCTTATCACGACGACACCATAGAGACGGGCTCGTTTGGCGTCCCGCTGAGCACCGGTTCCATCCGAGTGCACTCGGGGGTGTAAGTGTGGCTCTCAAAGCGAAAACAATCAGATCTTTGCAACTGTCCTCTGGTAAAATGTGCTACACAGCAACGAGCGGCTGTAATCTCACATTTTGCGAGGCACTTCTATTCATTTGGATTGATCGAATTTGGTAGATAGGTTTTCATCCGGGTTTTTTTTTATATTTAAGCCCTGAAGAGCAAAGAACAGGCTGTTATGAAGCAGTAAAAGCAAAAGCAAGCTAATGAGAAAACCTCTGCAATGTTGTTTATGTGACAAACAACTGGCAGTCAGACAGTAAAGCGTCATTTTGTAATGTGTGTTTGGCTCTGAAAAACAGCACAGAGATAATTACTTTACTGCGTGCCTCTTCCTCCTTTATCTTTCTCTTTGGTTTTGACCGCCTTAGGAATGTTCTTCCTGCTGTTGCATGTTATGAAATAGGAGGAGGGCGGGGGGGGGGCACTTCTAAAGTGAAGAGGTGGAGACTATTTGGAGGGAAACAGACAGAAATTTGGTTAAGGGGAGAATGTTTCTCCATGTGAAAGATGTTGCCATCGAGGACATTATGTACCTTCCTCATGCTAATGAGGAAGTTAATGAGGTTGATTCAATGTAATGTCATTTAATGTTCATTTTCTCACAGCGTATTTTAGAGATTGTTTTAACGTGTCAGCATTACATTTTGCTACATATTTGGTTAAAAGGGCCATTAGCCTTGCCATTTTAAAAGTAAACGCTATTCATGTTTTATTCAGAAAGAAATAGCTTTTTTTCTGTTATACTTGGATGACTCACTTCTGACACAAATATAAAATAACTAATGAAAACCCTGCCTGACCTGATAATACTTCATGTACTAAGTGCTCGTCATACCTGTAGCTACAGATGTAGATAAAAAAGTGAGTTTGTTTCTCTTTGTGACAATCATGCTTTCGATAAAAGCAAAAAGCCACACAAGTTCAGCACTAAACACCCATTAAACATGTCGATGTCCCTCTTCTCCTCAGGTGGCTGGTGTTCAGTGACCCCGGCTTCCAAGGCATGATATCTGTCCTGGGGACGGGAGAGTACCCGCTTCCCGACTCCTGGGGCTTCACGTCACCCTTTGTTGGATCTCTTAGACCACTTAAAATGGTTCGTGTAACATCTCATGTATGCCGCGGTTTAAAGAGGGCTGTGCTTTCTTATGGAGTTTAACCAGCGGGTCAAATGATTTCCTTGGTGGACACCTGAAGCATTATTGGTGTTTAGCAAGTATTGTGAGATAGTTTGCTTACGTTAATAGTTAGTTAGGGTCATAGAGGTGCTACGACTGACTGTAGGATCTTATTCTTTGTTCAATTCAACAATAACACGTACAATCAATTTACAGTGTACATTCGCCAAAGATTGTTGATGATGATATTTCTGTTTTAGGGTGGTTTCAAAGTGGAGAATCCCAATGAAGTCAAGGTAGGAGTACAATCCTTTTTTTAAATGTACTTTACTTGCATTTTCTATTTGCCTAATTGTCACAATAGTAGGAAGCAGGTGGTGTCCATAAAATAACTATACTAGTCTTCTTTCACTTTGTCACACGAGGACTAACAACTATATGCTTATGACTAATGAGCAAAATATTATAATGCTAAATAATCTACCCAAAAGGTATCTGGACAAAAGGCAGAATGTTATACTAATATTAATATAATTTCATTTAAAATGAGCAAAAACATAAACATTGTTTTTATTGCATTCAAAGAAAAATGTGTTTTCTAAAAAGTCTTGCATTTTTCAATTGTCTAACTTCAGACAAAAAACGATTAATTTACAGTCTTTAGCAGTAAATATTTTCGAATCTCAAAATAAAAGATAAATAGCCTTTTTTAAGGCTCACGTTTGTAAGTACTATAATTAAACAATTGCAAAAGCAAAAGTCCAACCATTCCAAATAATGTTCTCACAAATGTTCAGCAGAACCCAAGGACGTGTTTTTCACCTCATGTGTGGTCACGCTAAACCACAGCAAGATATTTGTCAAGAAAAGAAAAGCATTGCTTAAACTTGCCGTGGGTATTTGATCACTTCTTAGGTCTATTATTCAAACAGCTATCCTGCATCCGGTGTCACACAGTGAATACTTTAACTCAATGAAGTGCATTTGAAATCAAAGTACAGAGGATACAAACACATGAACAAGGATTCTTTCTCTCTTTCAGGCTGTGTTGTATGAAGAGCCCGGCCTTGCGGGTGCCGGTTTGGAAATCGACAGTGACGTTTTCAGTTTTGGTGAAAGTCAAGGAGACGTCACGGGCGCCGCCGGAGCAAACGCGGACTCGGGGAAACCGGTTTCTGTGGCTTCTTTAAAGATCATGGGAGGGCTGTGAGTTAATTATCTTTGCTTGCGCGGGATCGCGGTCAGCGGTAATCCTGACGTGTGCCAAACATTATTCAGGACCAACATTTGCAGCCTGAAGGTGATTTATGAGTCGCGCAGGCCCGGTTTACAGATACGGCTCTATAACCTTCTTTTCCTTCCAGCTGGGTGGGCTACAGCGAGCCGGCGTTCGAGGGCCAGCAGTACATCCTGGAGGAGGGAGAGTACCTGCACTGCGGCGACTGGGGCGGCTCTGACCGGCTGGGCTCCCTGCGACCGATCTCGGCCGTAAGTTCCATCCTGGGCTCCGTTCAAATAACGGTTTGACCGCGCAACGGGGGTTTGCGAGTCGGCTGAAGCCATTTCTGTTTTCCCTCCCAAAAAAATGCTCATCAAACAAACATATCAATGAAAACTAAAATCCCGTTAATCGTCAATTTGTCATTCGCAAAAAAGGAAACAGGCCATTGGTGCTCTTCGAATTAGCATTTTGAATGTTTACCTTGACTGATTTTGTTAGGAATTTCTACTCCCACCAAAGAAAAGGTGAAATATCAACACCGCACCGTACGTTGACTTTGCCTTTGCTCATTTACGATGTACATCCTCGCTGCGATGCTCATCAGATGCTTTCGTTCTACAGGATTTCATGTCTCCACACCTGAAAATGTTCAGCGACAAGGATTTCGGTGAGCTGGGAGTCAACATCGGCCTCACGGTGCCCGTTATTGACATGGACGCCACGGGCTACGGCGTGAAGACACAGTCCATTGACGTCTTCAGTGGCGTGTAAGTGTCGAGCAGCAACTACGAGGTTGGAGGGCTTCTTGTCTTCATGTGTCTTGAGGCAAACTTGGTCCGATCTGTCTCTCGTGGTTGGAACGTTCTGAGTTGTCTTTGCATCGTAAGCATTGAGGTATTTTTCTACAGCGCAGTTTAAACGCTTAAACACGAGGTGACGAGCACTTGAGGCTGCAGTCCCGCAATGTAATCGTGTCTTCTGGCGCTCTTTGGTTGGCAGCCAGGCCACCGCGCCCATGTCCACAGGTCGAGACAGATTACCTTGTTCACTAATGTTTAGTCGGCCACACCTTGCTTTCTGTCAATGTAACGGAGTTAGGAACATCAAGGCAAATCAGCTTTCGAGCACGCTGCTTCACACCCCTTTTCAGTGGGAATATTTAGATTAGCTTAGCTTGTTTTATTATTTAACATACCTTCAAAAAATGCTAAGGTCAGCTGAAGAAAAATGAAGAAGTGAACCCAAACAGGATAAAACCCGAAATGAATCATCAGAGTAATGAAATGCCAAACACGCGGATTGTTTTCAGCCAAGGGAGAGGCCGATAAAATGGTTGGCAACGGGGAATGTCACATTCAGTCCTTCTTCAGGAGGACCCACTCCCGCGAGTCGCGCCTCTAGACTGTTATTAGACGGCTCGGCCTTGTCCGTGTCGCGCCGCCGTCCTTCTGAGCCTCATTCTGTGGTTTTAGCATCGCAGAGAGGGAATTGTTTTTGTCCGCGCGGTGGCACATCGGAACACCCAAATGCAGACGTGCACGGTCCCTGTTTCAACAACAACAAACACGCAGCCACACCCAGCATGTCCAAGAGAGTACATTCAGTACACAGCTGGGATCGTTTCATGCGGGAGGCCATCATCGAACGGGCCTTTGCCCAACAGTTGTTGACACACATGACAAAACGCGCTAAAAAAAGGGGGCTTGGATTCTCCTGGTTTTCATTCTTAGCACGTCGATGTTTCTCTACAGTAAGACACGGGAGGTATCGCAATTCTGAGGCGTCAGTGGGGGAGAAAAAAAGGGTAATTCTGCCGCGTGTCCTTCTTTTCTTCTCTCAGCTGGGTGGCGTTTGAGGAGCCGGGCTTCTGTGGCGAGTGCTACCTTCTGGAGAAAGGCCTGTACGGAAGCCCAGAGGACTGGGGGGCGCTGCAGCCCAGGGTGGCCTCAGCAATGCCTGTTGTGTTGGTAAGAGCAATGACTCACACTAACGAAATCCTAATGTTTTTAACTCCAGGTTGTCCTGTAATTGTAATATTATTGTACATAATCTGTGTTCTATCCCTGCAGCAGCTGGCGTCACTTAAGCACAATCGGTTTTAGATAGTCGCAGTCGATGAATTGTAGCGTCGCGCGAGTCATACAGTTTGTAAATATGGAAGTGCTTGTTGCTAAGGGCTGTGATTGCATGTGACCGGTCACAAAACTCGTGCTTGTGACCAAGTCTAAAGAGTTGAGTTGGGAGAGAGAAGGAATCTTTTAGACGAGAGGCAACCCTTTATGATCTGTGCTGTGCAGAGGGGAAAAAACTAGTCATGAGACTCAGAAGGGAAACATCTTAAATGATACTGGTGAGTCATCGTGAAGCCACTATATGAAAATATAAACCAGACAAAGATTTCATGCAAAGGTTATTGTGTTTACAGTGTTGCAACTACAATCTAAAAAGAAAATCCTTCTGAAAAGACCAATAAATGGACAGTGTTTCATTTAGCTCAGATTATAAAACAAAGACGTTATGGCATTTTGTTTTGTTATTGTGTGTCCCACTTTTGTGTATCTTATTCAAACGTCACACATCTAAACGTTTTTTCTTCCTTTCAGGATGATTTTGAGAATGCAGCTAAATTCAAGGTAAGCGATGAAACAACTCCTGCTGAAATGCCGTTGGTCTTTCTCTGTTGAAACACGCGAGAGGCTCGAGTTGATGAGTCAGATTTATTGTCTTGCTGTGCGTCCTCCAGTTGCAGATTTTCTCTGAACCGGGTTTCCAGGGCTCCGTTGTCCCCCTGGAGGACAGTGTGGCCTCGCTGCAGGACGCCGTCTCTGTGTCCTCATGCAAGGTCCTGGCTGGAAGGTCAGTAACACTGAACTCCATAAGTAGAAAATAGCCCTTTGCTATTATTTTTGAGTTGTGATGCAAGTTGAATAGCAGATGCATGAACGTCTTTGCACCATCCTGTAAAAGGAGGCGGTCGTTTTTTTGGATTTCCCAAAGGTGATCTGATCCAAATGTAGCAGCGTGTTATTTCTCTCAACTACTCAATTGTGTTGCTCATATTCCCCAAACATCTCTGAGATCTGCTGCAGGCCGTCAATGCTCCACTTGCTTACAAAAGTCCCACGTTACAACTCTCTCTCTCTCTGCATCTTTGATATTCATATTCATTTGATGTATGATCCAAAGTCCCGTGGTTATGTGTAGCCGTGTCATCCTCATGAGGATGAATAACCACAATGTTTATATTCACAGAATAACACAGGAATCGCTTTTTTCTTCATGGCCCGAGCAGCATGTGCGTGTTTTAACACGTTTGTTACGTCTGTGTGTGTGAACGTGCATTTTACTTCCAGCTGGCTGGCGTTCGAGGGCCGGGACTTCACTGGCAGAATGTATTTGTTAGAACTGGGGAGCTACCCTGACCTGAGGGCAATGGGCTGCGCCAATGCGAAATCCTCCATCCTGTCGCTGCAGACCGTTGGCTTTGTAAGTTCACTTTAGTAAATAGTACAGTGCACACCATCTTCCAGGAAACGATGTCAGGACAGTGGGAGAGCGGCCCGTCTCCAGGGAACCCTCAAGAGTCCCCGTTAGTTTGAACCTCCATCACGTAATGCACTTTCTCGGCAGGAGTTTTCGCTGCCGTCGATCACCCTGTTTGAGCGCTGCGGCCTGTGGGGCAAGCGGGTGGTGCTGACGGATGGATCGGTGAACCTCCAGCTGGTGGGAGGCTGCAGCAGAGTCCAGTCTGTGCTGGTGGAAGGAGGCATGTGAGTACGGTGTGAATGTCAAGCGGCTCCTCCGCCGTCACCAGGTGCTCCTCTTGGTGCCAGTTTGTACAGCAGTGACGGATGGAGGGACGATGGGAATCTGCTCCTGATGTGTGAGATTCACACTGCAGGTGTGAACCAACGCAGAGGAAATAAAGGGCTCCCGGTGAGCCGGAGCTGCCTCCGTACGGGGGAAACTTTCCCACTGCGCAGTGAGAGACGGCCCCTGGAGTTAAACAGCAACATTTAGTGTCACAGTCAAAGTGGACGGCGGTGAAGCTCGGCTCATTTTAACGGGTCACCGTTTGCACAGCGCGGGAGAACAAAATGTAACTCAAAGTGAAAGAGGACTTCATTGCTACCAGAGCAACTGAAACTAATAGTTACAGAAGCCAAGTATAATGACACACTATTTTATTCTCGTCCATGCAGAATTGATTTTTTTTTTTTTTTAAACTTCAACTATACAAATTATATTAACAGGAAACGTTGCTGTGTTTTGGTCTTTCTTCATCACTAGATGGGTTTTATACGAGGGAATCAACTATCGGGGTCCTCAGATTTTACTGAAACCTGGTGAAGTGCCCGACTGGCGCAAGAGCAGCAGCTGGCAGACAATCGGATCCCTTCGCCCTCTCATGCAGGTATATCCTCACTCTCCTTGGTAGAGCCGGGGCCTCGCACTCCTAATCAGTGTAGTTCTGACTGCATGCGTTCGGCCCTGTGTGTTTTTCTGGAGCAGAAGCGAGTGCCCTTCCGTTTAAGGAACAGACAGACGGGGCTCATGCTGTCAGTGACCGGAGATTTGGATGACGTCAAACTGATGCGGGTCCAAGAAACGGAGGAGACCGACGGATTCGAACAGATCTGGCACTACCAAAACGGGCACCTCCACTGCAAGGTACCGGTGTCGTCACGCCGGTTTTAATAGTGTCAAAATAAGCTTCATCTATTGTAATGCAGACCGGTGAGAGGTCTGCGTCTACGAGAGGTGTTGATGACACACCAGACGGTGGAATAGAGAATGAATAAACTGTCATTGAACTCCTGGCTCTGCGCCTCCAGCTGCTGGAGGAGTGCTGCCTGAGTCCCAGCGGCAGCGTGACGATGGCAGGAAGCCGCGTGGGTCTCTCCCCGGAGCCAAACAACCAGGACAACCTGTGGAGCATCACGCCTCAGGGATTTATCCGCTACAGCCAAACGTCTGATCTGGTCCTGGAGGTCAAAGGTGAGCCATCCACGAGGGGCATCACACGTACCTTTAGAGAACACAAGTATTTCCCAGGTAACAAAACAAACGCCCAGGCGCTTTGGGTTTAGATTTTTAAATATCCTTTTACCCCCCCTCACCTCGTTTTACATGCAAGACACATTCCTGATTACACTGCGGTTACATAAGATGCAACCCTTTGTACACAGTTTATGACTCTTGTTCACAATCAGCCCTCCTATTAAAGTTCTTTATTGGACTTTCACTTGAATCGTAAACTAGGTGTTACGGTCCGATGGCTTTGTTTTCACTGTCAATTACTGACACCGTGTGGACTAAATCACATCAGTGTACAAACCAAGATGCATTGTGTGTACTAGTGATATTTTACATGACTTGTGTGAACAAAATAAATACTGAATGTCTTTTTTAGGGGGGAAGCTCTACGACAAAAACCAAGTCATTCTAAACAAACTCAATCCAGCTAAACTGGATCAACAGTGGGATGTGGAGATCATATGAAAACTTACGAGCTGCTGGACTGGATCCTTAACAATTTGAGAGGAACACTTCCACCAAAGGCTCCGTTATGTGTCAGTTGCAAGGCAACTGCTCACAAACGAGGTACAGAGTTGGAAAGTTCTGGAGCTGCTGCAGGAGGAATACAAAAACGTCGGAGCGGAGGAACAACACGGAGGGCTGTGGATGAATCCGTAAGAATGTATTAATACCCAGAGCGTAGCCTGAACGTTACTTCATATTACACTACACTTGACCAGTACTATATCCTCAAGCTTATTTTTTGTCTACCTGATAAATTGTGTAAAAACAGTGTTAAAACAGTTCCATATCTTTACCAAACGTTCTATTGTTTATGTACGTGTATACAGAAATATCCTTATTTCTAAGCTGCATCCAAATTGAGGGGGAAAAAAGAAAATTACAATGTCTCCTGACTCCTTTCCTTTGTTTAATCTACAAAGCACAAAACTCTTTTCAGAATAATACATTTATTTGTGTCAATAAACTTGTTAAATACATTGCACAGCAAGGTGCAGACTTAATGCTTGAGATTTAAAGATCCATCATTTGTGTTTGCCCAATGTTTAAATGACATCTTTTTGTTCTGTATTCACATGTCAGTTGCAATATAATGTAGGGAAATATTCCCATGGTTATGACGCGGGTATTGTCAAATAAACATGGACAAGAAAAATGCTCATTTCTTCTCATGCGGCGCCTCACCAGTCGTATAAACAGATCTACCGATTGATTTTCCTCTCCACATCAATTTGGTTTTGCATGTCGGCCGGTCAGCTAGTTTGGGGAGGAAAAAAAAACTGTCCCCGATTTACAATTTTATGAATCCCAGTGAAAGGAGATGGCATGGGCCGAGGAAGAGCTTAATCAATTCAGAGTGGATGGGACGGTGCTCTCGGTGCCCTCCTAGTTGAGGATACGACTCCTTAGTGGATCGATCGCAGTAACCAAAAAGTTTCCAAGAGCCTGATTGTGCCAGCCGGGCGCAGACCTGAATGAAGAGTCCACTGCCGGACGTCACCATGACGGGAACGCTGCCGAACTCAAACACCTACCGCACTGGAAGGAGTGCGCTTTTGACTAAAGCGGTGGTTGCATAACGGCAGCACCTTTTCATTTAAAGAATCGCAGTTCAATCCGTTTGGCGCCACTGATTACGGCGTCTAGTTTTGCGTTGCCATTTCTCGTTCTTCTTGCTCAGAGTCTGCGGCCTCTGAGCGACGGGTTCGCCCCAACCCCTCGGCCCGTTTGTCATCGTCTTCAACCACCCGGACCACGGTCTTCCCTCTGGCGTGGCCATTCTCCACCTTCTGAAAGGCCTGGGGCACCTGAGTAAATGGAAACTGGGCCTCCACAACCGGCAGGATCTGAAGTGAACCGGCAGAAAGAAAAAAAAAAAAAAACCTCATGAATAGGAACTTAAATGTCAATCAGGAAATAAATTCAAGAAATCACAATTAAACCCTCTGTATATCAGTGCTGTGAACCAGACAAGTTGAATAGCTTTTCCTTCACAAATACTTCTGGACCGGCATGTAAGGTCCACACTAGGTTTCCCCCCAAAGTACCCCACCTGAAAATGAATCAACGTAGACGGGTGAATAGCGGCTACGACTACGTCATGTCTGCTTTCAGAGCTGTAAATGTGAAAAGGTGTTGGCGGGGTGCGGAATGTGATGAGGCTGAACAACACTCCCCTCCCCCTCCCTTCCTAGTCCCACAACACGAGCAGCGGGGCTTGTTATTCTGGTCAGCATCTCTCGTCGTTAACAATGAATGGCGAGCGTGGTTGCGTCACACTGGAAACCATCCGCCCTTCTGACTGAGACCTGCAGACAGAGAGGGTGGGTGCATCAGTGTGTGTGTGTGTGTGTGTGTGCGTGCGTGCGTGTGCCTAAAGCTTCCCGTCACTGGTCTGTGTGCGCCGCTCGCTATAAGCCCCGGGACAAAAGGACGAATGGCTGCTCAGCACTGTTTAACAACCCCATTCACCGTCTCCTGGCGCCTGACTCAAAGCCAACCGTGCACAGCCAGAATGTGATGCTCTCTCCTTCATAAAGCCCAGGGGCGGGGGCTAGAATACAGGCACGCATGGAATCTCTGGTATGTTCATATTTAATATGCCGTATGATCACCGTCCCTGCAGGAATTTGTCTGATTGGTTTGAATACGAGAGGGTTTACATTCTGTCAGCGTGCGTTGTTCTGAATGACAAGTATGCAGACCTGCACGATATCAGTAATGAGGCAGTACGGTACCTTCCCTGCATCCACCAGCTTGCTGACCTCGTCCAGGGCAGGCCCATCCGGCGCATAAAATCCCCACCGATAGAAGACGCCACATGATATTATGTTCTAAGGGGCAACAATTACAAGTCAGTCGGGTATGCACCTCACTGGGTATAAAGGAACACAGAGGGGTTAAATGTGGGGAGGGAAATGAAAACAAAAAGATCCCCAGGCGTCCGACATAAAGAATTTGTGATAGACCGTTCAATAGCCACTAAAAATAGTTTTATATACACACACACACACACACACACTTATAACCGGTATTTTCTTTAGCAAATTTAACTACGTTACCAGGAGAAACACACAATCCAAATACAAGTGAGTCAGGAAGAATGGAAAGAAATCCCATCTGCTAACAATATATATATTTCACACGTGACCATAATGTATTAACCCAGTTAGCCTGCTCCTCCCGGCCTGCCAGCGCTGACCAGAGGTCCAACACTAGAGGGCTCAGTTGTGCTGCCAGATGAAGAGAAGCCGGGCAACGAGGGTGTGACTGAGCCTGACCAAACGGACCAGTTGGCAACAACAAAAGGCCCAGAGGCTTGGCAAGAAACACACAAACAGTGGCATTTGCTGGGTGTGGGGGGGGGATAGCCAGCTACAATCTGCACAAACACCAAATACTGCTGCTTCAGCAGCTAACATGTGCGTGCGTGCACACACACACACGCACGCACGCACCCACCCACCCGCACGCACCCTTCCACCCGCACAGATCCAACACCAGCCGGGCTGCCGGTCACCCACTGCCCTCATTACACATGGTGTCCACTAAGAGCAGCTGGAGGGTCAGGAGCTACATGCGAGCCTTACACCGCAGCAGGGAGTCAAAACGCTCAATGGAGGGAACGTTCCTTTCATCGGCCCTAAAGTCAGAATAATTACACCCCGCGGGCTGTCGTCCTCCTACAGCATTAACCTTTACAAAGAGGGAACATGCAGCGGTGCCAAGTCAAGTTATAACATGATTGTTCCTTCCCCATTTCGATTTGTGTCATCAACCGAATAGAGACAGAACGTTCTCTTTCTCTGGTCTCTTTCCGAGCAGCTGATGCTGCCCACAGCCCAAGCTAATGGCTTAATGTAAAATACCAGACTGCAGTAAGTGTTTGTCAGACCATAAAAAAAAAGAAGAAAAAAAAAAGTGATCGCCATTAGCTCAAGTTGGTTTTGCAGACTTTACCTGCATGGCCTTGTTGTGCAGTGATAACCCGGCTTGAAGCATCCCGTCCAGCAGGCCCATTGAATCGGTTTGCAGGAGTAAAGGGGACACTAGTGTGACGTACTTTGCCCCGGACCAGGGCTTCAGCAGGCCCGTCGCCCACTCCTCCGTTTCCCCGCCCACGTTGTCCAAAATCACATCAAACCTGACGGCACAAACACAAGACGATTAATTTGGTTGAGAAGGATACAAAATACTGATAGCAAGTTAGTGGTTCCAAGACACCTCTTTATTGCCGGAGCCCTGATTTAAAGGGTTTGTCGTGATGATTTACCACGTTTATTTCAGGGAGGGGAAGAGGCGTGAAGCCACGGCAGGCTCAGGCCCTGGTTTCCGTGGAAACAAGAAAGCCGGTCAGTGAGCTGTTGTGCCATGATTGCGGGAAGATGTTTACCACATTCTCCCACACCTGGACGATTCCTTTTCATAAGCCCGTTAAATGAACTGACTGCGATGCTACTTAATTAGTAAACGTAAAAATAGTAAAGAACACATTCTGCGCTCACTTGTTTTTAAAATAAAAGAGACAGCGTTGACAGACTGGTTAAATCCGACCAACGACACATACTTCTCCATCATTTCTAGTAGTTCTAGCGAGTCTCCTGCCGTGTAGTCCACCACCTCGTCGGCCCCCAGCCCTCTCACGAGGCCTTCGGCGTTCTGTGAGCAGGTAACGGTTACGTGGGCCCCCCAGGCCTTCAATAACTGCCGACACACAAGAGGAAGACAACAGGAATACACACAGTCACAGCAACAAACACGTCGACACAGCTGGAGGAACGCGCTCTGCCGTACCTGTATAGAAAATGTTCCAACACCTCCCGATGCTCCCGTGATCAAAACTCTAGGAGGGAAAAAAACCCAAACAAACCTTCAGTTACTGTATGACACATTTAAGCAAAGCTGCTTTAGGCTGTGCGACATATGCAGGATCGGTAGCTTTCATATCCGACGGGGAGTGAAAGTTCCATTACATTACGCATCAGGTTTGATTCACACCTTCCGGGTTAGAGGCAGGATCTAAAACAGCTTTGACGCCAATTTAAAATGAAACAGAAGACCAACCCCACCACTGAAATGTATGTGACTAAAAAAATATATCTAATCAAAAGCAGAGCTCTGAATGACTGAATTCAACTGGATTTAAGAGACAAAGAGCAGATTTTTAAAATCCAGGACCTTAAAATTATTAATTCCGCGTTTGATGGCCTTTTGTAAAAGTTCTCAGAGACGTCTTTGTTTCCCTGATACAGTCTCCAACATCTGTGTACACGGGTAGAGGGGTTCAATACAAAGTTAATGTATCCAGGATCAGGCAGGTGCTTGCCTTTTATTTGAAGCGCTGTCTCTGCAAAGACCACCTGCATTGACAAGAGCAGAGAGCGCCGTGTTGGCTACATAGGGGATTGATGCTGCCTCTGTGTGACTCAACAATTTGGGCTTATGGGAAACCTGCAAAAACAGCCAAGAGTTAGAATCAACGTCAAAGAAGAGATGCCAATCATATCTACTGTGAGGGCAGATAGCTCGGAGTGGCTGGATTAGATCAACAAAAAACAAAAAGAAGAGAGGACAATTTGTGTGTGTCTATAATTGGTGCCACAGAGGCTCCTGCAACCAAACAAACTTACTTCTGGTTATGCTTTGCACTTAAAGACGACATTGGGTGGAAGACTTAAGATTTTTCTTAGACACCTTCTACTATACATGCAAGAACTTAAAATCAACGCTTTCCTTTTTTTTTTTTAAGTTGATTTAATAAGTCAGTTGAGGAAGGAAATCAATAGCTCTTAATGCTAATATCTCTGTGGCTCACCTCATACTCTGTCAGAGTCACAAATTCAGCCAAACTGCCTTGTTTCCATGGGGGAACAGCAGCCCACACCTGTAACACACATGACATTTAACATGCTGGAAACGACAAATAGCCGCCTACTTTCATTTTTTTAATATGATGAAACTTCCACTAGACTCTTAGACAGCAGAGCCTGTGTCATCGAAGATATTTTCAAAACACATGATTACTAGAATACTGTACATGCATTTCTTTGAACAGTGTATTGTTCTATTATTGAATCAAATTTATATGAATCACATTAATCTCAGGAAGATTAATGTAGAGATGTGAGAAGCAGAACAGTAGAGGCCTCTGATTGTTTGTTAGACATCATTTTGTGTTGTATAATGGTTTTCCTATGCAGTTGACCATTGTACCAAGAGGTCATGACCTCATTTTGGGAACCACTGTGTTTGGCCAGACAATTTGATGTGTTGTATATGATACAACCTGAGCATCAACATGATGGAGTACTTGATTTTTTTGATTATTCAATTCACTGGATGAACCACAAAGATCTTAACAAATGGTTTGTCAATATATTTTCCTGATGAGCTACAACATTGTTGAGTTATGCTCCATCATGCCCCATCATGCCCTGCGCTACATGTAATATTACATCTGATCAGTTTATTATAAACAAAATATATGATGATGTAAGATATCATGCAGGTGTGCGTTTCTTTGGTCACATTATGTATTAAATGGAAACTGATGGACTGATTTTAACCCCTGGAAAAATGAAGTAAAGAAAATATACAAGGCAAAATTGAAAGTGCAGCTCGTACCTCGTCTCCTGGAACCACGTGGGTGACGTCAGAGCCACAGTCCACCACCTCCCCGGACACGTCACGACCCAGAACCAGAGGAAACTCACTGGCACCGGCCATCACGGACATCGGATCCCTCCTCAAATTAAGCAGTTTAGCTCCGTATCCACCTGAAAACCCCAAAGCACGCGCGTGTGTTAAAGTAAATTAAACTAATTACCCATTAGATTGCAGAAGAAGTCCAACACGTACCCTTCATAGATATGTCGAGGGGGTTGAGACTAGCCGCATGGACTCTGATCAGCACCTCGCTGGTAGAGCCGACCGAGGGAACGGGCATTTCTTCTGTGTACTTCAGGACTCCGTCGGTACCGTACTGATCGATGACCCAGGCCGACATACAGCTGCGCAGTGCTGAAGGTGAACTGCATGCGTTTCTCCGGAGGGACGCGCTCCAGCCCGACCGGGCTAATGTTTTGGTCGCGTGTGCAGCTTTCGCGTTAAAGGACGACAGTAACCGGGTCGACGCCATAGCTCTGACCGAACCCATTAAGACGTCCTTCAAGTGGAAATGACCACGAGACCCACTTTGGACGCGGTTTACTCTTTTGGAAGAGTACTTGTCACTGAGTTAGCTGGCTGACTAGCTCGCTAGCTAGGTAGCTACACAGCTAATATTAGCATGTGCGCACCTTCAGAGCATACGCAACAATACAAACATGACGTTAGCGGGTAGACACATGAGCGGAGACCGACGTTTAGTGTCACATTAGGCTGAAATAAAAAGCACCGTTACGAAAGACAACAGACGCACGCCCCTCTACGGCAAGACGACTACGTAACAATTTAACCTTTGAACCGACAACGTCAGCCAATCTGAATCTTGGAGCTAAATATTCTGGCCAATAGAGTAAGAGAGTTACCCTGGCATATCTACTTAGTATTATTACTATTTCTATAAAAAGAAGTTCAGTATCTGATATGTTTACATATAAGTTACATATGTAATACTTTCAAGGATTTGCCTTTTTATCATATCACTCAAATTAATTTAAAATGTCTTAAGGCCTGATATTCTGATTTGATACTCCTTTCTACGTTTTTCTTATATTTAAACCCTACACTGTGATTATACAGCCTAATTGTATTCTATGTATTCTTATTGCAAGCATAAGAGAGCTCAGGTGCAGTGGTGTATTGACAAAAATAATAAATGCTTTTATTGTTTTAGGTTAGTGTTCCTGAAATAAAAATATTAATAGTAAATAGCAACACCATACATTTGATATATCGTATCAAATAATATAAAAGGCAAATTGAAATAAACATTTTTTGAAATACAGACAGGAAATATTTACTAATAATATTTTCATTGTCAAACACAAGAACACATTATGTAGCAATAATAGTATATTATCATAAAAAATCAATTGTACATGAACAATTATAAATTAATATACTCAGTACACAGTACAGTAGTGACTGAGTAATTCACTGGCTTCAGACAAATGGGTGGAATACATGCAGCAAAGATACGAAGAAGAAGGAGCACAGATCAGGAAAAAAAACAAAAGGCAAGCCATACACAGGGGGCTGCATTGGGGTTAATTAATATTTCCATGATGCTTTACAGCAAGGCATTAGCAAATTATGTCTTAAAAATTCATTTGAGGAATGTGGTCACAAAAAACCCTACCTGACACACAGCTTATCTATTTTGCCTTTAAATTCTTTAACTGTAAGTTACTTTACTGTAAGATAGTTACCATTCAAATAGCAAGTGGCATACAAAAGCTGCATGGCCTCCAATTAGGAGTTCACGAGGAAAGAGAAGCAAAACAACAAAACAGTTCAGTTACCTCATGTTTTCTTTATTACAGGCTTGTGAAATAATTAAATGAGAATAATCACACTGGTTCCATGCAAATTACAACCTGCAATGAGAATTGATATTTTCTTTTCCAGAGACAAGGAGGGAAGATGGAGAAGAAAGAGAATGTGGGGCCTTCAGCTGTGTGGTCATGATTCAGCATGAAACCAGGCAACAAGTAGGGCTGTCATTATGATCACATCTCCCAGGGGAAAGAGGGCACACTGAAAATTGTGCGCTTTGTCCATGCTGCTTCATTACAGTGGGTCTGTCTAATGAATAACACTCCTGGCTTCTGCCACAAAACCCTCTATGTTGCTGTGTAGAGGTTTTCACTTTTCAGGCTGTAACCGCACTAGAATAACAACAATTGAAATTGTCTTCTTGAGCCGGTTGCCAAGACATAAATGGGTCAGACTATGAGTTTGGCATCTGTTTTAAATTGGTCTTTTTAAGAGCGTCATTCTCTCCCAGAAATCACCATGTTTTGCTATTCTAGGCCTCCGTTCCATCTCGGGACCTGCGACCCAAATTACATGGCAGGTATTTATTTTGTGCTCATGTAGACAGGACATTCAATACCTGACTAAGGAGACTTTACCAACCCCTCCGCTCATCTATCCATCCTGTGCACGGAATATAGCAAATATATCATAGCAAAAACAATTTAAAGTGGGTTATTTTGCATTAGTGTCTTTCTCACCCGTTGTTTCATGCATCCATTTTCACCTCAAAAACAAACCAATTAGTATTTAATTCTCTAGATGCTTGGCATCTCGACAGTGAGGCTGGGCATGAACGGCACACGCACCGCCTAGATAACAGTCACACAAGTTGCTCGTAACACACAACCTCTTCTGAGCCGTGGCAGCGAGACGGAGAGGGCAGAGTGCACCTCACTTTCTGGGCTCTGAGATGACATTTTTAGAATTAATTCTTGGATTCCCTCCATGGTAACTGCACCCGGTTTGTCTCGAATAGGTCAATACAGTGGATACTGTCTGCGATGTAGAGACTTAATGGTTCTTTGCTCGTCTTTATCAATGTCACAACTCACTAGATTTTCACTAGATGCTGTGAAATCTTCCCTGTTAATTGAAAAAATGTGTTTAATGAGATAGACCTTCAGGTCACACAAGGGATCCACAGAATTAATATCCATTTTTTTACTGCGTATGGTTGCTGGTGTGCGTGCTTTCACAACAGGGGTTAGACAAAGTCTCCATGCCGCTGAACCCATCAACACAATATTTACATATAGGATAATTTATGATTGCATGCTGAAGGATCTTTTATGGTTGCGTTAATTCAAACATAAAAAATATATAAATACATTTTTTTTTTTTTTTAAATGTATAGGCTATTTAATGCTGTCATTGAGTCCTCACTGCTGGCTGACTGCTCACTGCCAGTGATCATTAACTGCTTTAGTTTTCTTAAATTTCCTCAATTGCATGTATTTGTGTATGTATGTATGTATGTATTTATTTGGGTTGGTAGATGGCAAGCTGAACAGAGCACTTAATACCACACAGTGTGTCTTTGTGTGTCTATAGAAGGAGAGCTGGTTAGCTGCTGGAAGCCAGAGGCCAGCGGATTCCTTAGGTGTGTTTGATTAACTGAGCTAAAAGCTTACAGGGCTAATTCAGTTAACAAAGATAAACAGATAGCGTAACTAAACACACATTGGGGTGAACCGGCCCCGCACGAACCGTTACACATTGAACTGCAGTTTAGCTGCAGGCACCGGCATTTGTTGCCTCATTGTGTGAGTAAAAAACACGCTACCACGCTACATATGAATGTTGACAGTCTAGATTGATGTTCACCAAAGGAGTCCTAAAGAGTTCAATATTATATTAAACAAAATAAATGGTGAAATACATTATACATGGACAACAAAATAAATGTATTGAGAGATTATCAATGTTTTATTTGACCCTTTTGGGCGGCCGTACTCGGGTCATGGGCTGCAACATAAACTATGTTGTATTCGGTCACATGGACGGACACAGCGACTCTGGCTAATGCACAGCAGTGATACAGGAAACCGAATGTGCTCTGCTGTTCATCTCATAGATAGCATCTTATCTACAGACTTCCTCCGCACTGCAAGGACAGCAGCGGAAGTCTAATGCATTGTTTTTCTTGAGGATTAGGACGTAAAGGTCAAGCAGCGTTATTGCTGTCGTTTCTAAACTTTGGCACACACACAAACACACACACTTCACACAAAATATCTAACCAACTTTTACTAATGACCACTTTTCTTTCTAATGTCTCTATTTCTGATAAATATATGATGATGATATCTGAACCGTTGGCAAGGAACACGTTAGACACGTTACTTCAATAAAATATTGGCAGTATGTTCCGTATTTACTTGAGAAAAATGTCTTAAAACTGCCAATGTAACTACTGACATGATTTTCCCAATTTATTTTATTTATGTAAGTGCACGTAAACATATTCTATCAAACACAACACAATTCTATCACAAAATTAAAAATTAATTACAATTAAAAACGTTTGAATTTACACATTGCGATATGCACACACAACACTCAAACACGTAAACTCACAAAACAAACACGTGTGCTACTATTCTTATGTCGACCCATGAGGACACAGACAGCCCCTAATACCTACACACAAAGCTCCCCTCTAAATTTGGTGTTTTATTGTGTTTCTACTCATTTTTACACCAACAGTGCAAACTGCAGTGTCCTAAAAACACAGTGGATGCCAACAACCTATCACAACACCACGCAGACTTCCCAAGATGAAAAAAAACAAGTCGGCATTCCATCACAAATTGACAAGCACGTGGATTCCTTATACTCTCAGAAAAGTAGTGCTTCCTCTGAATTGTTTTCTTACAAGCGCAGCCCACATACAACACCCAAAGCATGAGCCTAAGGCTGCAACACAAGCAAGACAGTAGTCCTTGTGTTTCTGCTCAATCCGTTTCACAGACTAAGTATCTCTCCCATGTACTCTGTACTTGAAGGGATTCAATGAAATCCAGACAGCTCTTTAACCAGAAAAAATTGCATTTACACAAATACGACAAAAACCTTCCGTCACAGTCTTTTTACACCAATTTGGTGCAGCCGTCCGATAAACGAACCACAGTCATTATAGAAATGTCAGAGCCTGATTGTGGGGTGCAGGAAGAGGAGAGGGCTGACGGGACGCTAATGAGAAAGCCGCAACGAAAAAAGCCTCCTTAGTCTATTCAAGAGGCAGAATTTCAAAACAAACAAATTGGACGCGATATAATGAGGCACACTGTGGAATTATGGCTTGTCATTTTGTAGTTATTTTGTGGCATGAAAACCATTTCCATCACCGTCATATCGTGTTTGCACCAGGTTTTCCTTTTTCAACGAGGTCAACCATTATTCCCTCCGTTTCTTATCCACAATAACGTACAACTATTTTCACTCTGGGTCTGACACCCTTTTTGCTATTCAAAGTCACTCATCACGTTTGTTGTTTTCAATGCAGCAGTAGGTGTGGAATGTTGTTGGGAACAGAACGGAAGCCCCAATCTGATATCCATTCAGCAAAAATAAGAATGGTTCATTGAAGTCAAAGGGTTAGGAACCATAGAATATATTTTAATATGACACGTATGTAGGTTACAAAGTGTTTTTGCTGCACAAGGATAGCTACAAAGCCTGCAATCGGGTTTCATACTTTGGCAAAGAGAATTGAAATAAGAGATAAAATATACAGATGAGAAAAACTCTCATTCTGTGTGCTAAATATACAAGCAGCCGACTTTCTGAGGGTGAGATGAAGACTGTAAAACTGTCAGCCTCTGGTTAAATGCAAACCCATAAAGCTCACTAATTGAACCTGAATGTGAGTGCAATGAGATAAAAGAAAAGAGGATAACCATTTTACACAGTAGATGGCAAAATATATCAGAAATAACAGAATGTCAGAGGTTCTTTTAAGCCACTTTGCCAAAATAACCTGTTATGACCTGAATGGAAGCTGTAGTGTCCACACTTTGAGTCTGAGATTTCTTCCAATATGACAACTAAATCATCCAAAAGCTGTTGGATGTATGTATTTATATTATTGGTAGTCAGACAGTTAAAATTCAAACAGCTTTGAATTAAATGGGACAAATAATAAACAATAAAATGTCTGATTTGTGGTTACTTTTAATAAGAACCCCCCTCTGAAATATCCGGTTTTAAGTGTGTGCACCTTGTCAGCTTTCTTTGACAGGCGAGTGCTGCCTGAAGAACAGAAAAAAACATTGATTCCCTGTTGCCTCGTTGACCAGATGGTGCTGAGACACCCAGACTCTCTCCTGCGCTTCCATTTATTCAACAGTCATTGTGCGCAGGATTAGTACATGTATATTGTAGGTTTCTGACTGGGGCTTCTTTCAACACAGAGTGGGTGGAAGCTATTTCCAGTAAACAGGTGCCATTATGTGGCATCAGGTGTCCTTCCAAAAGGTTAGACAGCGAGGGGAGGATGGTTTGTCCTAGATATGCAGTTAGTTAGATTACCGCCGCTCTCAGAGGACACTCTGAGCTTCCCTGTTGGACGGCGGGGACGGCGGGGCTGTAGATCTGGGATACCGCAACCTGATTTGCTAATGAAATTAGGTTAGTTCTGTGGGCACTCACTCATGTCGTGTTAAACGGGTCACACGAGGCAAAACAAGTTACGAGACTTTCAATGACAGCCGATTAAATGTGAATCTATCTTATCAGATATCAGAGAGCATACACCCACACGGGGCTCTTCACGAAGGGGAATTTAACCAGAAGGACAGTTCACCAGAATTGGTCATGAATCCCTAAGGCTGCAGACAGGACCAGAGGATCCATTCATGCATCTAATGGATGAGCCACAGGTTATCAGTGAAAATGAGAGAAAGCAAACAGCTTTACAGAGGTCTGCCCCCATCTTTGCTAATTGATCCACTTTCAATGTTTCATTGAAATGGCATACTTTGCCGGGTTTTGTTTGGCAGCCAATTTGATAAAGATGGAATTGAATAGTGGAATAAGGTCATTCTGACAAGAGAATGAAGAAGGTAGCCTTTTATGGCATCCCTGGTCAGGGATGATGCTGCTGCAATAATGAAATTATTTTTGCCTTAGCACAAGCTGTGTATTATGAGGGCATTTCTATGTCTTTTGAGCTGATAAATGATCGTCTGCTCCATCAAATAATGTTATAATAGATTTTCTTTTGGCTGAATATTTTATTGTATTATTTATTTTATCATATAATAATAATTATAATTATTATTTTCTGTTTTTGAAGGAACGCTGCCTTTATTTGTCTATATAAATATTAATATACATCTACTGTGTTATTAAGCCTTTTTTTGAAATGCAAAAAAAGAATACAGTGTTCACACAACTGCGTGACAGTAGCACTATCACAAAATATGATTCTTATTATTAACATTGTTTAAAAGTTGAAGATGAACTTTAAATTTGTTAAAGAACATTTTCATTAAATAGAAACCTTGATAATCTGGCTGAGCGTGTTTGCGAGAATGTAAATAAGTGTAAATTGTCTTGGTCTTGATTCAACTTCAATTTCCGGTGCAGCTTTGTTCCGAAAAAATGACAATTCAAAGAGTTTGTTTTTTTAAGAATGGCGTATGAAGACATCAGTCAATTATAAATGAATCAGTCATTTAAAAAAACGTAGTAGTTACTAAAACTTACTAGTTGAAATGTACTAATGCTTTGTAAAGCACGATGCATTAGAACTAGTTTGTACTCAGATGACCGTGCAGAAACCCAACAATAGATTGAGTTGTCAAACATGACAACAAGGATTGGGCAGGTGGTACATCGGCCCCCCATTTGTCCGAAGTGTGAACTGAATTATTCATGAGCCCTAAAACGAGTGTAAGCTTTAACATTCTACAATACAGTCTATGTTCACAAAGCTAAACTTTACAAGTAATATTCACATGAAATACACATGTTAGTTGTCTAAAGTACTGCTTCAATGTTCCTAAGCAACCCTGCAGTGCATCGTCTTACAGTCCTGAAACTTGACACAGGGCCCTAACGACAGCTCCGTGACCACTGTATCTAGTATCAGTTACTTTACGCCGCACAAACACAGAAGAACACACACTCACACAAGCGTTTGACAGGGCGACGTCCAGTATGCACACATCCCACTTCCGATTACAACATAATATATGAATTAGGACAACGTGACACAAATAAGTGTATCAAAAGACCCTGTCGAGAGGTGTGTCCATGTGTGCTTGGAGTAAAGCATTATGTGTGTGTGTGTGTGTGTGTGTGTGTGTGTGTGTGTGTGTGTGTGTGTTTGTCCCGGCAACATTGGCGGCTGTCTGAATATTTCATGAAGCCAATCAATGATTAAAGGTCTGCTGGGCGTCACACCTCACACCAGAAGAGAAGTTATGATAAACTTACAGAGCGATGATACAATTTAACCTTAATTTAAGTTAAATGATCTATCACATAATGCGGTATTTGACATGTTGAATATTCCACTTATTGTTTGGACCACTTGTTCTATTTTAAGAGTTTTTATATTTCCAGTCGGTATAACGTAACAGCGGCTTAATCCTACGTAATGAGAGCTTGCACAATGCTAACGGCCTGACGCTAATGGCTATTTCCAGTAGAGGAAATTAACACAGGCAAACAGGAAGTAATGCTTGGGATGTTACTGGCAGGATCTTTTAATCATAATGAGGCCAAAAAAGTCGCACAGAATTACATTGAAAGTAAAAGAACAAACGCTTTATGAGCTATGGGAACATGAAAGTTTCAGCAAACTGTGGTCAAGTGTAATAAGCCAAGAATTCTGCGGGGGAAAGGGTTGAGTGGTTTTATTCCTCTATTTGGCTCCTGGAATCAATAAAAGAAAGAAAAGGAGCAGCGATGGAGGTCAACTTGAGACACTTGAGACCCAGAATAGAAATGACTCGGTGACGAGGTGTGTTCAAGTTTCTGCTAAATGATGCTACAGACTGGAGATTGGCACGTAAAAGGTCCTGGGATGAGTCTGAGTGAGTAATATTTTTATGATAAAGCTTGTATTTAGCTGAAACACCTTAACGCTCACGAGCCAATGGTAGTTTCTACCTGACAGGTCTTCAATGTGGAAATGGCTTGCTGTTCGATAACTGGCCTACAACATTTTAGAGTACATTTTTTTTGTATTGTGGATCCAACATTATGTTTTGATCTCTTTGCGCCTTTTTCTCAACATCCCAAAAAAACTGATTCTCACTGTGTATCAAAGCAACTGCTGGGTGAAATTGTCAAATATTGCAACCGTAACAATCACTCGTTTTCAACAGCATTTAGGCGAAGAAAACCCTTAGTCATTTTTGTGGAGCCACATTGACACAGTCCCTCCAGACCGAACTGGAGGACAGTAAATGGATAGATTGGGGAAAGGGGGTGATAAAAGGGAGGGTGGGTGTGGGGAGAGGTTAATAGTGCAGAGAGGATTGAGAGACAATAGAGGAGAGTAATGAGTCATGCGGCTGGCTTTACTGCTGCCGCTCACTCGGCCACCACAGCAAAGGCTGTTTGAGTAGCTGGGTTGTGATCTGTTACTTAGCTGCTTCCCTAAAAAACGAAAACAAATTCGAAACAGGAAAAATAATTGTTTGAGATAATCACTGAAATAAAGCGGATGTATGTACTATGACGATTTAAATAAACAAAGCAAGTTCTATTGAAGAGGCTCTACTCTGCCGATTTGACTATTATTCATGTAAAAATCTTAAATGAATACTCGTCACACATACGCCCACATCATCGTTTATTTTTCATCTTCACTGCATGTTCACTAACTCTCCTGTCATTTCAGATCCTCCCACCTCGTCACCTCATTTCCTGCACCTGCATTTCTCCTCACCCTCACCTGTGGTGCCGCCTCTCGTCAGTCACTCACTATTTAAGCCCGTCACATCCTGTTGCTCACTGCCGGATTGTCTTGTGTGTCTAACCAGGTTTTCCCAGCGTGTCCCTAGTTATCATGTCCACCTCGATCCTGACCTTGTCTGTTCCTCGACCCCGATTTACCTGCCTGCCCCGTGGGCCGCGTGGAGCTAAAAGCCAAACCTGTTTGAACGCCTATTAAAATATGACATTGTGTTCCCTTGAGGGCTCTTTAAACTCATCTTAATAATGATAATGCTATTCAGGCTTGAAATACTGAACCAACTGAAATAACAGCTTTCTTCGTGCTAGCGGCTTCTCTCTCCCCCCCCGGTAGAGTCAAAATGAAGGATCTCATTCTGAATGCAGGCAGACTGGTTCGGACTTTGTACATCACCAGTATACCACGGGGGCTACAGTTCTGCCTCATGCCGCTCTGGCACTAATCCAGAGGAGATCAGTGGGGGCATCAGGGACCGCCGGGTCCGTCTCTGGCCTGCAGCTCAGCGGGTTGCACGTCTAGACTGCCAAGGCAGCCCATTAAATGGTGACACCGCCACACCCTTTATATGTAGAACATCAGCATGGTTTTATGGGCGGGAGATCCGTGCAAAGTTTCAGAACTGGAGAACAAGACGCCGTGGCGTTGATAAAATATTGGTGTAGGTGCTGCTTTTGTGAATCAAAGAAAATATTACACTTGTCTTCATTTTTCATAATTTATTGTACATTTTAATTTCTTCCATTATTTTATACCCAAACTATTAACCAGTACAACATTTTTAATTTTTACAAAATATAAACTACAAGGGTAGAATATAAATCTAACGCCAACCCTTCCCATATGGTTATAATATACATACAGCCACTCCCTGGGTCTAACCCATGGTTGAAGGAGGGAAAGGTGTCATTAAAACCCTCATTGTATAAGACCGCAACTCTTTACACGTCACAAGGCAAAACTGACACAAGTCTTGTGGCAACTTATTTGCTACAAACATTTCTTAGACAATTCTAATAAAAAAGACCAGAGAGGCAAATTATGAAAGAACCTGATTCAAATTTGTCATCTGGCTCAAACTTTCTTGAAGAAAACTCCTACTGTGTGTGCCAAAGTCAACTTCACAGACAAAAATATTATTGAGTCTAATTAAAGCCACAAATAAAACCTCTGTACACTCAAGTGGTCCGCATTTCAATCAGGACATTTGATATTACAACCGCAGCCCTGATCAAAATTCAATGACGTAACTATGGAAACGCAGGCCAAAAGGGAAGCTGGGCCAACCGCCATTCCTTCTGATTCCATGCAAGGGGCTGAAGGGGTTTGGTGATGATCTCCAGTCGACGGTTAAACCCCCTTTATTAAAAGAAACGTCTTGAATTACAGATTTTTTTATAATGAATTTATGGAAGGGGGGGGCCAAAAAAAAAGATTTTAGAGTCCATCCATGTTGGTCTTGTGGTCCCGGTGCGGTGCGGTGAAGAGGAGAGGAGTGAGGCTGGAGTGGGTGGGATGATAAGATGAGGAGGAGTGTTGATGCCGAGTAAGGGGGGGGGGGTTGGGGGGCCCTGTGGCGTCCGAGCCTTTAACAATAGCGCTGATGGACAGAGGCTGCCGTGACGACGGGGATCAGGAAGGAGACGGTGCCTGCGAGCAGCGAGACGCCCCTTCCAACCGGGGCGGTAGTGTTGGCCGCACTGCTGTGGGTGTTTGTTGCCATGGTGGTGGCGTTTTGGTTGCGTGTGGAGTTCGCCATTGCCTGGGTGGTCTGGGAAACCACCTGTTAGAGGAGGTAGAAGAGGAGGAGGATGGAGGAGAGAGGCTTTAAAAACGTATCAAGCTGCTCCGTAACAAAGCCTCTCGTTCTCTCTATGTCACCAGATACTTTGCATCCATTAAAAATTGCTGGACTTTACATATAGACTGCAAATTACCTGATACATTTTACAGGAAGGAAATAGTAAAGATCACAAAAAAATGTCAAAGCATTTCCTAAAACACAAGAGAGAAATTCAAATGTGACTCAATCTCTATCAAATTGTGGCCACCGTTTCTTTCTGACTGCCTCTGACAACAGGAAGAGCAAAAAGATAAGAGAGCACAAGGTTCTGCGTGTGCATATCAGATTTCTTTGTGAACACCGAAAAGAAACTTTAGATTCTCTCCCTACCTTTGCAGAGGTCACAATGAATTGCGCCTGTATCATTAATTCAGTGGAGTGTACGCTAATAAAAAGGTAGAGAAAATAACGGGAATTGTGTTCACAGTCTTTTAAGAATCAAAAACACACATCAGAAACTCTGAAACCAACTGGAAATTAATTTCCCAAGAGAGCTTCCGCGTCTAGTCTGCTGTATTCCAGCTCGCATGTATACAACTCCTTCTAGAAACACATTTAAAGTAAAAAAAAATAAGCCATCACACATACATCAAACTAAAACCATAGAGATTACATGCCATCATACCTGCGTTGATAAACATATGGTGAACAAAATCACTCCGAGCTGAAAGATCGTCATTTTGGACATTCTCTTTTTGTTTGCAGTAATTTGGCCAGAGGAGGAGGAAGAGGAGGAGGAGGAAGAGGAGGCTGCTCACAGACGCTGCTTCTCTTTAATGAGGATGCTGCGTCGGACTGAGGCTTTTATACCAGCTGGGTCTGTGACGTCGAGGTCCCGGACGTCGAGTTTTCATTTAAAATACTACAAAAGGGATTTTATGGGAACTTACAACTCGATTACTTGCGTTAGGGGTAATTGTTTTGAGTGGTTTAGTAAAATCAGCTAATCGCGCTTTTTTTTGTCTCACATTGAATGTGATGGTCCACAGCATCACGTCAACAGTCCACTTTCACCCAATATGATATCAGACGAGGTCTAAGCGGCCGCCGTGTATTTACTCGGGGGGTAACGCGCGGGGGGGCTTCTAACGTTGCGTTGCCATGGTGATTATATGTCATATATGACTCAGGTTCAGGTTTGGGCGAAAAAAAATCCACAAATCCAATGCAAATGAAACGTTTACCCGGATGAACGAGTGATAAGTGTGTCAGCAGCGACGTCCTGCGATCAGCACGAGATTACATGCAAATATTTCCTGCAAAAATAATACTGTAATACTGTTCACTGACGTATGCAAATGTATGTTCTTTTGCATAGATGGGGAAACATGTTTCGAACAGTCGGACGTTTTGCGTTGATAATATCCCGTTTATGCTAAACTAACTTATAACTAACTAACTAAAGTCATTAAGTCAATATTGCATCGAGTTTATTGATATCAGGCGAGACTGGTTTATTGCCTAATATGTATAATTGTTGCGTATGAAAAAGCATTTATCCAGATTTAGGTCCGATATATCATATTCCACATTATACACATTTAACCACAATAATCGGTTCTGTGACTGTTAATTATCCACACAAATTAACCCCCTATTTATTGTTTTGAATTATTCAGCAATCAAAAAGGGTACAGAGCCAAACAATTTAAAAGCATTCAAACAAAATGCTGTTAAAAAAGAAGAAGAAAGGGTGTTGCCACGCAAGTTTAGTAACGATTAAACTATTTATATGTTTGATACGTGATTTAGCTCTAAAGTCACAGTATTGTTTAGAAAAATGTCAGTTCGTGATTACAGATGTGAATAAAATTGCAGTTTAAAAAGTTTTACAAGCTACAGGTCCATTTATTTGATCACTCAATGACAAACACATGACTCACCGTGACTCTATTTGCATGTTATTGGATAAAGGGAAAGAACCGGGTCCTATTCGGTGGCACGATTATGGGAAACCAATGGTCAGACATCGCCTCCTAGCGGTGACAAGACAAACCGCAGGCTACGTCCCTCTGAGGATCCCACGACAACTCAACCGTGCCTTGAATGGATGGGGACTCTTTGGCTGTCATTACAGGGATCACGCAAGGAATTTCACACAAAGTGACAATTATTAATGATTCGCTCCACATGTTGCGGATTCTAACATTGCCTCTTTTCTGTCCTGTCATTTGTTTAAGTGGATTTCTAGGGAAACAGCAAGTCGGTCTTTATCCCCCGCCTTCACACCCCACAGGAACCAAAGGGGACAGCGCTCCCTGCAGAGGCACCAGATGTGCGCTGTTACGGCAGAGCCGGAGAGAGGGGCCTTTTGTGAGGCATCAGATAAGCCCTGTTCCCAAAGCAGGGCCGGATCGGGTATCATCAGCGGGCGCATGCGAGGGGGCGAAACCGGAGCCCCGCGCACTGAATCGGGTTTCTGTTTACACGAGCCGTGGTCGCTGGATTCCTCCAACCGGAGTGGACCGAGGACGGCTGGAGACAGGGAGGAGAGAGGATCTGACGTCCTGACATCTGTCTGTCTGTCAACCTGTCTGTGTCTCTGCAGGGGGTTCAGGGGACCAAGAAAAAAAAGTTCTGCAAAAGATGCAATCGAGCCACCGAAGCATATATGAATTCAAATATGAATATGCTTTTGATAGAAAGGTGTAGCAGTGAAATTGTGTTATTACATTATATTAATTGCATTTAACTTGCAACTTGATCCCATGTGTCAACACACAGCTGAGAAACATAATGGGCTGATATTAGTCAAACGTTGTCTCATATTTGAGACACCCCAGGGTGACAAAATGGGCCAAAAAAGACAATTCTTTTTTTTTTTCGAATTGCATTTTACTGTCTCCTACGGTCGCTGATCAAACGGATGCCAATGGAGAAAGCCCCAACTATTTAGCCATGGTGCCATTTAACCGACGGCGCTCTTTTCATCTCTTTATTTTAAGACAGGAGTATTACAGACAGCATTTGTACGGTGTCCCCCTCAGATAAAGCACAGTCTTTGCATTCCTCGTGAAATGTATCTGTTGAGATGCGGGAGGGGTGGGCGCCAGGTGTTTGGTTACATCAAATCACAGGGCCCTCCCTCTCCCCATCCAGAGGCGAGAGGGCAGCAGCAAGTTACACGGGAAGAGCACGGACCATGCCGGAAATTAGGTGAGTTTGTTTTCAAAAGAAAAGCCCAAAACGCATCGCGTCAGAGGGAAGTCACATGCAGCAGACTTTATTCAGACTGAAATAACGGAGCTAAAGGTGCTCGATTTTATTCTGACGATGTACATTATTTTTCTTATGTGGATTCAAAATATGAACTTGGTTTTCTGACATTTGTTTTAGTTCAACATGGTTACGTTGAGGATTTGTCAGCCTGGCGAAGCATCCGGTTCTTTATGGGAATTCCTGTGTTATTTATTTTTTGCATTAGGCTTTTAGAAATGAGGGGGTGTGTATTTTAGTTAGTTATCAGATGCGTGTTAATGTTAGTGTTTATATTCATTATGACTGAGTTTAGAGTTTTCATGTATGTCGATCTTAAAAATACATACTAAAATAAACATTCTAAAATCAAATCATCAATTGTCCAACACGTTACTTTAAAGTCGCAATTAACCGTTTATTCTGAAAGGTCCCAACCGGAAACGTCCCCTGTCTCACCTCCAGATGCTTGACAGCGTTGGAGAAGAGAGATTTGCGATTGTTCGGCGGAGGCGACCCTATCCCGGAGTGCACCCGCGTTCAGTTGACTCCAATGGTGTGAAGCCCCAGATGAGGGACTCGGGCGTCCGGGAATGACAGCTGCTGTCACCGGGAGTGACAGCTTTCATTCTGAGCCACTCCGCTGAGAAAACTCCTGCAGCCTGACAACCGACAGTGATCCGGGTCGGATCCAGCCCGACTCGGACTATGCCAGAGATGGAGAAAGGGAGACCACCGGAAAACAAACGCAGCAGGAAACCTGCGCACCCCGTGAAGAGGGAGATCAACCAGGAGATGAAGGTGAGAGTGAGTTTGAGCGTCACCTTTGGTTTTTAATCGAGGTGGACGTGTTGTTGGCACGAGCGTAAACTTCTGGACGCGCACTATAAGCTCTGCGCAGGGCAGAGAGAGGCAATGCCGGGAGGATCCAGACACACACTGTGATGTTTGTGTTCTGTGAAAGCTCTCTTCATCGTTCGTTCAAGCGCCCAGACCTGATGATCTTTCCTGTGACCGATTTCGGGGGGGGGGGAAAGGTCTCAGGGACCTTCGTCCTCTGGGGGGACGATAACGAATCATGTCATGTGGATGTAAACTCAAAATGTCACACACTCAGACAGGGGTGGGGGGTGTGGGGGCGTTTTAATTATAGATGTTCGCTGTGGATAACAGTGGGTCGGCCTTTGACGAGGTGCGCCATGTCGGGCACAGCTGTGGCCGGACGCGCACGCGGTAATGCGCGGTGGAGTTCCAGATGTGCGTCACCTCTTCCTTTGCTCTTGCGTTGCGCCAAGACGCTCGCCCTCATGCCTTCCAAAATAGACAGGGAATTTATATGATTTAATTATTCTAACTTAGCCTTCCACTGGGAGAAAACACTGAAGTGGTCAAATTGAAAGGACGCACATTTCCTACCAAAATAAAGTTCCTATTCAGAGATGATGTCCATTTGGAAAATGCCCTTTAAGGTTATCTATTCTGTATCTGGCTCAGTGGGTTAAATATCACTAACAGACGTGATTCCCTCCCACCATTTTGAATTTACATGGAAACTAATCCATGGGATTGTCCGCCTTGTTTGGGTTGGGATTGAGGCTATTTGAGAGTGGTGACTGGTGGAAAGGGACACCTGGAGCCCCTTCAAGCCGGATGGTCAAAAAACCTAAAAAGACAAGCAAGTTGTTTCAGGAGGGAGGAGATCCTGGGGCCCTTTTGTGAGAGAGCAAATGTGCTCTTTTTGTGCAAGCGGTTTGGATTGTGGCGTTTGATATCCAGGGGAGGTGTAGTGTTACAACTTAACTAATTTTAATCAAAACATGTGAAATTCTATCCCCGCTTGATGTGAGCCTGCCTGGGTTGAATCTCAGGGTCGGCCCTGGTTTGTTGCCTTTGGCTGCAGATCTCTCTGCGGTTTGGGATATGGCTTGTCACTCTCATAAAGCAGATGTTTGTCTGAACTGCCAAAAAGAAACAAAAACAACATTGTGGGATGTGGAAGGGTGGGAGAAAAAAATAGCCCCGTCTTTCATTTACAGGGGGGAAAAAAAGAAAGGACAAATAACAACTGCGCGAGGAGAAAATATATCCAAATTAGATGCGATGCGAAAACAAACAATCCTTTAATTTTAAAGGTAAAACAACTTTTGAAATCAGGGCGAGTATAACGGGTGAGAAAAAACAAAGACAGAGGGGAAGGCAACCTGATTTCCAGCTCAGCTGAAGTCCAACCGTGTGTGTTGTCTCTGTAATACATCTGTTTCAACACCACATTCGGACCTACTCCCTCCACGTCAGACCCGAGAGCAGCCCCAGACACCGGATACTTAACTTTAATCATCGTTAGGCACATTTAGCTGGATATGATACCACTGCTTGTGCTCACCCACACACACTCTGCCGCACACATACGTGCACAGCAGAAAAGTCAGCGAGCAAGGGAGAGATCCATTTCTCTGAGGCCCTAGAGCAGAGCAGAGGTCGGAGTGAGGAAAGCAAGGGGAAAGAATGTGCAGCCAGGACCACAGCACTACAACACCACCACAGCAGACTGGCTGTACTGGAAAAGGGAGAAACTTGAGAGGCGGCGCTGTGTCGGGTGTCAGGGCTGGAAGGTGCCGGGGTGGAGGGGAGGATGGTGAAGATGAGGGGGGGGGGGGGGGGGGGGGGAATGAGAGAAAAAGAGTCACGGGGAGAGACAGGGAAAGCTGGGGCGAAGCGAGAGTGGTGGACACTGGGGGGGTGCAGGAGGGGGAGAGGAGCGGGGCATTTCCGAGAACCGTGGGACCTCGCCGCGGTGTAGAGTGTCCCGCTCTGATTTCTGCCCGTTCCGGATCAGGTTTCTCCTCCAATCCGGTTCTCCCAAAGCCACAGAGAGAGGTGGGTGGATGAAGAGAGAGGGAGAGAGAGAGAGAGAGAGAGAGAGAGAGAGAGAGAGAGAGAGACCTTTGTGGGGTTTGCTTTTAGATTTTTTTTTCATCTGGTCATAATAAAAATTTAAAAAAAAGGGCGACCACACATCCCATCTGTGGGGAACAGTTTTCTTTTCTCCCTCTTTCTTCCAATTAAAAGAGATAAACAAAGGATGATTCATAGATTTCACACTGGTGTTGGGTTTTAAAGCTTTCCGTCTCAGATTTAGCAAGAGTAAACAACTCGACTACATCATGGAAAAAGCGTCATACTGTACTCCACTGTGCCCATATTCGTTTCCTTAACTGAGCCGAGGCTGAGAAAGAATCCTTTGCATTGATTCAGAGTGGGGAAGGTCTAATTATGTTTAGCATAGGATAAAAAGTTCCACTAACAACCCTAAGGTGTACAGTCACGATTTCCCATCTGCAGGCATGCTATGGCTCAGTTACCCTGTCCTTTTACATACAAGGTAAATCAGGGGGTTCTTTTCCTCTTTTCCTCATGCAGACGTTTGCAGAAAGCACCATGAACGAGCTGCTGGGATGGTACGGCTACGACAAGGTAGACCTCAGAGACTCTGAGGCCAACGAGATCAGAAACTACAGAGAGAGACGTCAGCACGTGTCTGTGCTGAAAGGTGAGGGCAGGTGTCGTCGCTCTCGCAAACAGAAGAATCTTCTTCAATTTACGCGGGCAGGTTCTCCAAGTTTCAGCGCAGACATTGAGTCACTGTTCTGATTTGCTAGACATGCTTTTCTGTTTTTGCAAACATTTGGATGAATCTATTGTTTCTCAACGCAACTGTTCTAAGTTGTATATAATATCTCCATAGGGCTTTGTTATGAGAGCTAAAGTTGTTAGCTTATATTGTAAGTTATAACACAAGTCATGAGCGTTAAATTATGTTTATGTCTTTCAGAGAACTCATTGCCAAAACACAAGAGCCTGGACACCAAAGTTGGTCACTCCGTCCTCGCCATGAAAAGTGGAGAGAGAGAGTCCTCCAGCGTCCCCTCTTCGTCACCTTCTTCTTCCTCAACAAGTTCATCCCTTAACACCTCTAAGGAGCAGAAGACTGCCCCCGTTATTGTACCCCTTATAAAGCCATCTGCAGGTAGTGAGCCACCAAACTTTGCATTGAATGTTGTAATTTGATCGTATTGTAATGCTACCCCCTGATTCTCAAGTGCTCAAATAGTCCATGACTTGTTGACATCTGAAAAGACTGCAGGGTCGGCGTTGTGGATAGGTTTCAGTAATATCCTCATGGGTCCTGAGCATTCATAGAATAGAATGTAAACAGTCCAAATGATCTTTTTTAAATGTATTATCACTCTAGCAGTTCTTTTAAATATAGTACTCTTTTATTGAATGATATTAAATTATTACTACTAATATTTTAAAAGCTGGACTAATAGTAATACAGCTCAATAATCAGAATAATTTAATGTTTTTGCTCCATAGCTCTACCTTGATATACTGAGCAGTAATATATTATTAGGTATTGGAACTGAACTGTTTTAGAAAAGCTGGTTAGTGAAACTTTAGAAAACTGTGCTCATTCATTTCTCGAACATTTGTTCTGCTTTTCCCGTGCAGTGGAAGATGTGCAGAATGTGCAGATAGTGTGCGTTTGGTGCCAGAAAGAAGGTGTAAAACGCTACTCTCTCTGTATGGGTTCAGAGCTCAAGAGCTTCTGCAGCGAAAAGTGTTTTGCCGCCTGCAGACGGGCCTACTTCAAACGCAATAAGGTGAGTGGTCGACCAAAACATTTATAGAATGCATATCATTATCACTGATTGGTCACAAAGATTGAACCAGGACCTGTAGTACCTGGGAGCATGATTGGGACATGATGGAAATCCCAATAACTACATGTTGAATGATCTTCAGATTGTTGCTAGATGCTTTTATATTCTGAATATTGTGTGCATTAGACACATAAATGCACAAAATAGATATACAAGTACTTTATATACAGAATTTGTGCCACGTGTGTCACTCTCCATAAACAGGAGACCCATGCTTCAGGTGTTTTCTTGTAGGTAAACAGACCGTCAGAAAGAGATTCTCCTGGTGTTGCTAGGTCACTAATGGATTCATTTAAAGGAATTTTAGAAGTAAAGGATCTCTGAGAACAAACGTTTTAGTTATTTTAAGGGACCCAGTTTAGGAATGGAGGTGGGGAGGTCAGAGTTTGTAGAGGACACTCAGTATCAGTTTCGCGTTAATGGAGGAGGGGCTGGCCACTAAGTGGCTTTTGGTCTGGAGGACAGGAAAGCTACAACCATGGAGAACGCTCTACTGACCATTGCCGGGATTTTTCAATTTCCATTACGACATCGAAACAGCCTCTTTAGAGGTGCGGTGTGACAAGCAGCTATATCGCCTTTCACCCCTACTGTTGTTAATACTATGTCGGGTTCGATTCACACGACAACAGGGACAAGAAAAGAGGACTGAACTTACTCTGCGCAACAAGTCCTCTAGTATTTTGGAGACAGGGAGAAAAGCATTGCCGTTGGCTTGTTGCTGCTTGTCTGAGAGGAAGGCCAGGAGGCCCTGGGCGAGGTGTCCACTTTCAGTGCATACCTTACCTTCAGCTGCCTCATGTTTCGTAACTCAACACGGCTCAATGGGTTACAGAGATGGGGGAGTACTCAGATCAGCTGCAGATCAGCTTACATGAATCAGGAGGAATTTCCTATATTAATACTGGCAAGGCCAATAATTATACGACAGAACATCATCTGCATTATCTCCATCCTCGGTTGAAGAATCATATCTATTTCACAACAGTGATTTCCCTCTGTTGACCTTTAGAGTTTGGTGGCCTGCATGGATTTTAAACTGCTTCTAACCTTTATGAACTGAAGTCAGTTCAAGCTCAAATTTGGTTAACTACCCACAGAATGATTCCAGAGTTGCATATTGATTTAAAGCAGCTGCTACTTCGTCATCACGAATTGGAGAGTAAATCCATCAAAAGTAGGATGAACTCTGGTCTCAGGTCTGACAGACTCACACTTTGGTTTTCCGTTGTCAGGCAAGAGATGAAGACCTCCACGGTGAGAGATCTCCTCAGCACCCCCACACAGAAGACTCGCCCAGACTGGTGTTGAAGATAAACAGCAACGTTAGAGTAAGAGGACACTATCAATGTAACTTTTTGCTATGGTGTGAAGCTATTTTTGAATACTTCTAAATGTACAAGAGTAAACTACTCTTCTCTCTCCTATGATTGTATATTTAATACAAGCTTTTGAGACAAGATCTGTCACTTAAATGACCCTCCACAGTCTCTCTCCCCTGTGCCACAGGTGTGCGATTGGTGCAAGCATGTTCGTCATACTAAAGAATACCTGGACTTCGGTTCGGGCGAGGAACGACTTCAATTCTGCAGCACCAAGTGTCTGAATCAGTACAAAATGGATGTTTTCTATAGAGAAGCTCGTGCAGCTCTCACCAGCTCCAGCCCAAGCAGAAGCAGCCAGGACGGGAGGGCGGACATCATTGTGGCCGGGCAGAAGCTACTCACTCCTGAATCTTGGAGCAGCAGTGCAGGAGAAGCACGTCATCGAAACCTTTCCCCCAGGGGGCCTACGCCAAACCATGGATCGGCAGAGTCCAACTCCATGTCCCCCTCAGAGACATCCACTTCTAATTCCAAAAACCCTATCCCTGGGCTGAGGACCCTGGACAGACCCATCCAGCCTCCTCCCCCTACTCGGGACGTGTCACCCCACCCTGCTCCGCTTCATCCTCCGCCTCATCCTCCACCTCATCCTCCGCCTCATCTTCCGCCTCATCCTCATATCCCTTTGGAACACCAGCCGGTACCACAAATCCACATGCCCTTCATCAGACCTCCTCTTCACGCTCAGAGCCTGAAAAGTCCTCTCGGCAACCCTCCCCGACATCCAGGCCCCCCTTCGAGCCCTATCCACAGACCTCCTCACTCTCCTCACCTGCAGCCCCCGACCTCTTCCATGAATCTCCCTGGGATGATGCATCCCTTCCCAGGAGCCTACTTCCCTGGCTTCCACTCTCCTCTAAACATGATGCAAAGAGGTCCTGTCCCAATGCCTCCCATCATGAACTACGGTATTCCTTCCTTTAGTCCTCTCCTGCCCCATCCCACTGTCCTGGTGCCGTATCCTATTATTGTACCCCTACCTGTCCCTATACCCATTCCTATCCCCTTTCCATTCCCGTCTAAAGCAACCACAGAAACCCAAAGTCACAGTGGTGTTATCCACCCTGTGCCAGAGGGGTTAGACAGCAGCAGATCCAGGGTCGCAAGGCCGCCGACTCCAGGGATCCCTGAAGGGGACAGCAGATTGGTGACCAACCAATTGGGTGGAAGCTTGCCTCAATGTCTCCCCTCACAATGTGAACCCACCCTTGATTGGGTTAAATCAGAAAGGCCATTCCCATCCCCAATATCCACACCCCAAAGTGGTGCATCCTCCCCCAGAGCACAGTACAACATATCCCCCTGCTCAGCCTCCGGATCAGAGGGGCTGACAGACTATAAGCAGTCAGAAAGACAAGTTATCCAAAGGGTTCTTCAAAGGACCCAAGTGAAGCCCAGTGCCAATGGAGTGGTGGACCGATCAGGGCTGGGAAAGTCAGATACTGGCCAGAGTACCAGATCAGGGCTCCACAATATCATCCGAACCAACCTTACATTACCACAGTCCCCTTCACATGACACTGTCTACCACCACCAGGACTCCCACACACCACCTTCACACAACCCACCCAGCCCAAAGGGTAGCATCCACCCATTTGATGCCACACCCTCTGCCCTGAAATCACAGGACCACAGCCCAAATGGGATGTCCTCCTCACCCGCCCCTGCCAGTCCAGACTCTTCACTACCCCAGAGAGTACCTGCACCACCCAGTAACCCTGTGCTCAGTGAGTTGGAGGCCATTAAAGAAAATAAGTGCTCTGCCATTGGCTCGCTGTGGGTTGAGGGCTCAGTTTGTCAGTCAGACGAGGCCTTACCTGTAGTGGGGGAGGTATTAGAAGACCCCCATGTTCCTGACGAGGACCATGCCTATGCTCTGCCCACAGCGCCAAAGACAAGTGGGACCACCACCCCGCTGCTCTTGCCCAAACTCAGAGACAAGGGTAGCATGCGGAGTCCTGCTAATATGCCCGGTGCTGGGGACATGGAGCCAGCTCTGAAGAGACGTTGCCTACGGATCCGTGATCAGAATAAGTAGAGGACGGAGGTGAGAAATATGGTTACAAGCCAAAGTATAGGTAGCATCACTTTCACCAGCTGTCTTATCTGTAGAGAACTACTCTAGTGTGTTGTCTTACTCATTCATCCACAGAAGACATGTCCCAAAAAGCCCATGGATAGGACTAACGGCATTAACACATAGATCGGGCAGGCTTGATAACGGGTCTCCCAGCATGGCCGGAGTCACGATACAGCATGGCGCCAAAGACAGAGAATCAAAGTAACCTGGCACTCCTCTGTGCTCTAAGGTTACAACAGGGGAAGGAGGTGGAGGGCACATGCAGTGAAGTCACGTTGAAAGGCAGTCACTTCACCATAACCTCACAGTCACAATGCTTTGTTTGCAGTGAAGCCTAATTTATAGGCTCGGTTTTGCCTGTTTGTGTCAGTTTAAGAAGGAAGCAGAGATTGTCTAATATTTACCAATTAACTGATGTATCCAGAACAGATTGCAATGTATGAGGCCGTAATAGGTGAAGGGCAGATGGCCGTGGCTAAATCCAAACTGTGACCTTGAGGTTATGGGATGCTCAGTCCAACCTGACACCCGAACAGACAGATCAAGTTAGGTTGATTAAGTGGGACCCCAAAGTCAAACTTTAGCTTCTTGCACGGGGAGACAGTGCAGTCATGTTTCTGAGGTCATTGTAGATTCAGAGGTGATTGTCAGGCAGACTATAAGGCGCTGTGAATATGAAAGCCAGCCCTCAGCTGTGATAAAGTGCCGGGGCTTCACTAGAAAGCATAGGGGCAGAACCAGAGTGTTTCGATTACCCATGCATATCATTATGACACCCTGTTCTGGCTTCAGCTAGTCTCGGCTCTGGTGCACTTCCCTTTCAATCCTTTACTTCTCTTCATTCACCACCGCTGACGTCAGAGTACAGTAGAACGTCCTCTTTAGTTTGGACCAATAAAGGGCCTCCTGATTTCACTCGCCCATTTGTTAGACTAAATGGCTATAACACCACCCGTGGTCCTCATCCGCCGGCATCTTGCCATTTGAGATAATTTTACCATTTTCCTTTATGCACTGAGATGGATTAATCTGCTCATATTACAGAGGCGGTTTAGATTTCCACTGGCCTGCTTTTCCCTCCATTTTTTCCTCCAAAAATAATTCTGTTTAAATGATCATAGATAAGGCACAACAAAAACCTTTTTCCTACACCGCAAATATTTTATTCCGTCAAGATTCCCTTTCCCAAAACAAGTTCCCACCTTAACTCTTTGTCATTTGTTGTGGTTTCATGCGTCCCCTTAGTAACCAATACATATTAAATCGCAGCGTGCTGCTTGTGTCGTGCAGACGGATTTATGGCCCTACTTTCTGTGTAATGGGAGCTGGCTGCCGTATGCGAATGACTTTAGCTCGCCACCTCTATGCTCTGGGCCAAACATTGCTGTCTTGTTCCATTGTCTCCAATGCTAAAAGTCTTTAAAAACATATCCCACTCTGACAGAATCACTAGCCAAGTGAAGGATTTCACCTCAGGAAACGGCCCCGTTTTTTTCATCTCCGTTTTCCTGGTCTTTATTTGGGATATTTTATAGCCCCGTGTAATACGATCCCACCACATGGGTATTCGCTGAGCGTTTGAAACTAAAACGCAATGGGACAGAGGGAGTACAGAACCCTGGTTTGGCCCTTACATGAGCGCTTGTGTGTGTCTGTTTACCCTTAATATGTGTGCGTGTGTGTGTGTGTTTGAACAAAAGTCTGTGTTGTGTGTGAGAGAGAAAGAGGCCAGATGTTCCTGGTTTGATCGTGCCCTGTGCGACAGTTATCTGAGTGTCGACACGACTAACAGCCTCATTCTCAGGGTTCATTTAGAACGAGGGATTAAGGAATGAGTGTCCGCCGGAGAGCTTGATACAAGATATCCTAGAAGAGGAATTTGGAATCAGCCCAGAATCTATAACATCTCACCACTATTTTGCCTTTCTCTCTCTTTTTTGTGTTGCTCTCCCTCTCTCTGGACCTAATGAACAGACGCCCTCTTTAACACTGTACGGCGGTCCAGATTCAGTGCCACGCCCTCTTGTGGACAACGCCAGTGCTAACAAACTCTGGCCTGATCCGCGGCCTGTCAGCCCACCAGAGTGTTGCTCTGCCTGTAGACCAGCAGGGTGCCAACCCAGGAAGTAGTCCAGATGGCCACATTACCGCCAGTCACCGTGGGGGAAGAACACAACACAGTCACACATGTTGTCTTGGACCAAAGAGTATTGCTGGCTTGTGTGTTGTGTTTTGTTCAGTGAGCATTTGAGCATCTCGTCTTCTCCCTGTCTGCCCTCAAGTGTGTGTGTGTGTGTATTGTGTGGCTGCCCAGATGCGCTCCTCCTCCTCTTCCTCCTCTTCCTCCTACTCCTTGCTCCACACAGCAGACAAGGCTCTGATCAGCCTTGTGTGGTCTTCTCAGATGGAGCCTGAACATGATCTCTTTCCAGGGGAAACGGTTTGTTTTCCCTGCCCGGCTTGCACAAAGAGCCACATTGTTCCTCTCCCCATATCCCACGCTGAGTCCCCACTACAGGTTTTGGGTTACCTGGCCGACGGGGGCTCAGACTTCAGGAACTTTTTTTTTATTTTTTTGACCCACAGCCAAGAATATGGTATACTCTTCTCCACTTTGCCGCCCAATCTAAATACGGTACACTTTAACATAGTTCTGAGGCTCGATTCTTCACAACGGATTGCCTGTGATTCCCTTCTCTGCTCACCTTCTTCAAGGGAGGAAGGAAATTCTGCTGAGGTTAAGACTTTGTCACAGAGCAGTTTAGACACTGAGCGAGACCGCTTGGGCTGTAGAGACAACTGAGCAGAATAAGATGCCCCCTCAAAGACATAGTAACACTACAGAGAATACAGGAGTGGACACCTACTGACATGAGTGGGTCTGTGAATGATGACCTCGCCTTTCACCCGATCTGCCAAAACTTTGATAGAAAATATGAATTGGAATTACCTGCAGCGCCAAGTTTCATGAATGTTTAAATCCCAAAGCATTCATGGCACATTCAACCGATTTTGTTTATGTCACTTGTTCTGATCCGGCAATTCTTAAAATCAGGCTGGTAATATTACCAAATGTGGTATTATACTCAAGCGTAAAATGCTGCAGTATGCAGCTATAAGTATTAAAGTTCCCGCTGTTGGGGATGACTGATGAGATTTGATCCAGATAGATCATTTCGAAGCTTTGTTAACACTTGTACCATTGTAAAATTTCAGTTTTTCACATTGGGCTCTACACAGATACTATTTGATGTTATATTAACTTATGGATGATGCATCTGTAGATTTTTTAAAAAGCTCTATATTTCTTCATGTTTTTTCTTGGATGATTGTATTTTGTGGTTGCCGAAGCTCTTAAATGCCCCTTGTCTTTATGTATGTATACTGTATCCCCACTAGAGAGCAGTGTTTGCCTTTGTAACTTTTGCACCTGCCCTTATTTGAAAAGTAAGCACCAGAAGGCCCATAGGCAGCCCGCTGGAAACATTATCATGAGTACACAGAACATAACGCTGCTCTCAGTGCCAGTTGCCTGACACCCAATGCCAAGTAAATATCTTATCCGCCACACATTGCTGCCATTATTTTCCTTTCACCCACCTCTACAGCAGCGTCGAGAAGACCCAGAGTGCCCCTCAAAGTTCGACAGTCCCCGGCGATAAGCCATCATGGCCCTACTCCTAGAATAACTCCAAATGTGACCCACCCCTGCCATCATTCCAAAACTTAGTTTGTGCGTATGTATGTGTGTGTGTGTGTGTGTGTGTGTGTGCGTGCATATGGCAGTGACACATTTCTCCCCCCCACTCATTCCAGCCTACATCTTCACCACAGGTCATGCCATTACGTTAGTGTCATCCTCGGCTGGCCAGGGGACTTTGGCAGCGATGACATCACTCCGTACAAATAGCTGCGGTGTCAACCAGTGTTCCTCCACTCTGACGCCAGAGGCCAAAAAAGACGTTATCAAAGACTGCCTTTGTTGGTCATATTGCACATTTTAATCATTGCCATTTCTGAGCTGATACAGTATGTGTGGTAATCCAAAGTTTGGACAAAAAAAAAATGTTATTATCGCCTGAGAATCATTGGTACTGTTTTGACTTGCCCTGTTAAACATTTAGCCCACTGTCTGAATAGATTATTCACAGATTGTTCGTATTTGAATATTGATTCAGTAACCAAGAGCTTTGGTGGAGACCTCTATGTAAAGTACAATAAATAAAAGTTATTCTAAGAGCAAAAACATGTGGTGAGTTTTCACAGTTTTTGATTCACGTCTTTCTTTATAAGTGTTTCAATATCCATGAGTTGTTGTCTCGTAGCGCAACCTTATAAATCTGCAGTAGCTCAAATTGTTTACTCACATTAAACAATGTTGTGGACATTAGTTGTAGGACAGACTAAATACTGAGATCCTTGTAATTTTCTATTTTTAGTATCAGTGTGTTTACAAGATGGAGCGTCAGCATTCCTGGAATATTTCAAGTATGTCAAGGCTCTGAGCAGTGACGGCGAAAACAGATGTATGAGATAAGAGAGCAGGATTCGGCGTGGGGCTCCCTCGGGCTTACGCTTAGAAATAGTTAACAGGCAGGATGAATCAAGAGGAAACCTTCCAGAGGGAAGATAGGCCCAACCACAATGTCCCCCCACTAAACCCTGGGGGATTTAATTTACGTCACCTGGTGGTTGAGTGTGAGAGTCTGTTAGGACTTGAAGTGGTGTAAATACAAATGGGACAGCACTACAGGGACCAAACGACCCGACGGGACTCCTCTAAACCCTTATCAGTACATAGGAGAGGAGGGAAGTGGAACCAATATGGGACTCATGTTTGGCATGTCACTGGGCTACGGCATCTTACAACCGGATTAACATGTTTGCATTCAAAATAAAAGCCCCAATCCACAGTGGTTGCTGTTTTCTGAAAGTGCTGTGATTTGTATATATATTTTTTTAATGCTCAAACGATCTTTGGTAAAAGTTGATTTATATAAACACATACCATACAGACTAAATGCACCCGCATATATTATATAAAGTGCTCCATTGCCAATGTAAAGTAAAAATATAAAAATAAACAAAAATAGAAGGATTCAAAATTTGTTTTTACAATGGCAAGAAATAAATATCAAAAAACTAAACAACTTGCTTCGAGCTTAATATCAACATAAGGGCTAGTTAAATGGTTTGCTAAATCGAATTGGTCCATATATTATATATATATTATATTTACATGATAAAATGTATATATTAATACGTCATAGGAAATGTAAAATTTGTTTAGGATATTCTATATCTATAACAATTTTTTTTAACTAAATATAAACATTTAAAACGACATGTACATATCGATACATATATTCAACATAAACATTAAGTGTACTTCCCTTTTCACGCTGCGTTAAAGTTAACATTCCAAACTGCGGGTTTTAGTTTGAAGGCGGTAACCGGAAACCGTGCTGTACATCGACGGTGGTCTGTCTTACGCACGTTGTGGTCGGTTCACATATTGTTGATTCTACCTGGGAGCAGACGGGGCGCACCTGGAAGCCGAGTCCGACCCGCTTCCACTTGTAGTTGTTAGTTATTAATGAGAAATAGCCAAGCGGCGTGTGGATGATTTACCCGACAACTCGAGCGGCACTTCGTTTAATTAAAAAAGAGCTGACGATGAAGAGCTGATCCGAGGACAAGCGGCGCGCGCTTCCGTCCCCCCCTGCGTCCGAACGGCGTCCGTGCAGGTGCTTCGGTGCCTTCGCCGCTTCATTTCACCTGGACACGTCAGACCCGTGAAGCATGCACGGAGCGGAGAGCAGACTGGAGAGCCAGCTGAAGAAGCTGGACTCCCTGATGAGGAACCCGCAGTCAGCCCTGAACCTGGAAACCCTGCTGGTGAGTTTGCATTTACCTCTCAGGCTCGGATACAGGTAGTTGTGCTGAAAACGCACACGCACGCACACTCTCTCTCTGTAATTAGTTGTTGTCACCTGAAGTGACATGTCGTTTGTGAAAAGCTCCGTCAACATGTGTTTAACACTTTCAGTCAGCAGTGAGTCACAGGGGAACCCGTCCTGCTGCATTTTTGCTTTTTGAATGAGGTTTAATCATTATTTTTATCAGCAAAAACAATGTTTTTGTAAGCGTCATTAATAGCTATTGACAAAATGACTAATTAGGGCCCTCCCTTAAATCAGTGTAGGCTGTCCACTCTATTGTTGTCCCTTGGTGAGGCCTCTCATTGACATGTCCTAAGAATGTAATTGGCAAACTTTGATAAAACTACTAGCTTCTCTGCTCCAACCTCTCACAACATTTGACACTTTTTTTTTTTTTTTTTTTAGCTGCTGGGGAGGATCCCTTTTTCCTGGCCCCCTGTCTCTCCCCTGTAGGCCACAACTTAAAACGTACCTATTTTAGGTTTAAACAATGATCAACCCATCCTTCAGTCACCACGCCTTCTTTTTGAAGTGCAATATCTCCTATCTCTCTCAGACAATCTATAGATCCTCGAGGAAATGTTAGAGCAACGTGTTTTTCCACATGGTTTGGCTTTCGCTTACAAAACACAAACATCCCTTTTTTCTTTTGAGGTTTCTCGGCTGCGTCATTACAGGTTTGATATCAACAGAAGGCTTGCATTCTTGGTGGGCAGCGAGGTGTTTCTGGCGACAAAGAAGAAACCAGATGATCCGCCTCTGTGGCCAATGTGTCGCCCTGATGGTCGATGAACAGTTCAGATTTGACGTCGTCACGAAAACAACCATTTCATCTGCCGGGAACCTTTACCGGGGATCTAATCCGGTGCCTTGTCTGTGTGACGACCTAATCAGGAAACAAAGGGAAGTCATTCCATTTGAGGCCACGTTGAATTCCTAACTGTAATTATCAGTATTTTCAGCCAATCTGGTTCCAAGCGGCTCTGTAGTGGACAAAGCTGCAGCCGGGTTGCCGAAACGCCGGGAGCCACCACACAGGAAGCTGCACTAACTTCCTGGAATTGAGATGGTTTACTTGCATCAGTATTTCCTGTTTGTCCACAAACTTTTGAAGTGTTCTAAAGTATTTTTTCTATTTGGGAACGAGGCCATTTAAGCTTTTTCAAAGATAAGCAGTTGTTGATTTTTTTTTTTACACTTCTGCATGTATTCCATTTGGATTAGTTGGGACTTTACATTTAGATTCTGTTGCTGACTGTGCTCAGACTATCGGCTCACGTTGAAGTGGGAGGTGTTGTCTGAGGTGAAAGCACACTACCATGAGCAGGATCGTGTTCAGATTTGTCCAGATTCCAGAAGTGAAAATCACACCAGTTTCATGTCATTTTCCTCGTCTCTGCTGGTCTGAGTCTCAATCAGGAGGCGAGAGATTTGAATCTTGAACCCTTGACGCTGCGAGATAACATGTGCTGACTGTACATCGTGAATAACAACAATCATGGTAGAATAATGTGCTACCAAATAAGGGGCACCTCTTTCTAATGCAATTTAGACATTATACCCTTGTTACTTTAAAAAACTGAAGGGCTCAGTGCCTTTTAACATTTTGTCCTCCTGGCTTAATCCTCAGGGAACACAACCTCGTAGACACACACACACCAGAAATCTATAATTATATTTTATTTGCATGTGTATATACAGTTCAACATTCTCACGCAGAAGAGAGTTTCCTCTTTCTGCAGAAAGAATGGTGGTTACAACTAAGGCTGTGCTACGTACCAATATGATATCCATATATTTTACATATATTTATGTATATGTATGGTATTATACGTGTTACTGTTTTGTGTTAGAAGTCTCAATATTAACAGATTCAATAACTGGAGTTTTCTGGCTATCTTTTTTTTTTTTTCTTTCAACATTAGTGATGCTTGTTCATCAAAAATCTCATTGTGTAAAACTAATGCAAAAGCAGCCAAAGTCAACCACACACTATTGGTGCAACGTCCATATTGGTGTATTTAGTCTGAAATACAGCGATATTACATTTTCTCCGTATCGTCCAGCCCTAGTTTCCCCCCCCCCCCCCACAACGCCACACACACTCAAATGATCACCGATCGGAGCACGCTCAGCCTGAACCATGAGCTGTTTGTCCCGCAATAGCTTCTGAACCTTTGGGTCTATTTCTGCAGTGGGGGAGATCTCCCCGCAACGCTGCTATTTAAAGGTGCAAGATTGTTCCACATGCCGCTTCCCACCCACCCACCCACTGGCGTATCCCCAAATAAACCGTCGGATAGACACCGCTGTGGCTCAACCACGTTGCCCCATATACACACACACACACTCGCTGGATGACTCCATTTGACCCTTGTTTCTGGGGAATAGGGGCTCATTGCTTTGCCCCCGCCGCCCAGCTGCCCTTCCAGCGTCATGTGTATCACGCAGACGTTTTGGTTTGGTGGAATTCGACGCCGCCGATTTAAGCACCGATGACGCTACCGAGGCCTCGGCTTTGAGTCAGATGCCGCTGCCGTTTGGACGGAGCAGTGTGTTTGGGGGGGGGGGGGGTCTGTGTCCGGGAAAGGGGCCCAAGTCATGTGACCGGTTATCATTGTGTGACCTGTTATGTCTTTACATCCAACCTCCATTGTCTACTTGTCATTGTCTTGTTATGTTGTGAATTAGCAGTCTCGTTTTCTCTTCCCGTAACGTTGCATTCAGGAGCTCACGGAAAGAATTCCTTCCTTCCTTCCTTCCTTCCTCCTTCCTCCGTGACTTTCGTCATCTTTTATCAGCCAGCAGAAGGTCAGGGTTGTCTTACAAGACTCTTCCTGTACGATTTTCAAAGCGACTTTGCGAGACCTAAAACATTACTCCCTTTTTCTTGTTTAATTATTCAGCCAGACCAAGGCAATAAACCCAATTTGTTTTTACATACTCCAGCGGTAAACCTACCGGTATACACACTATAACTTTTTGTTATTGAATATAATATTTTGTGTTTTCTGTCTTTCAGGATTCCATGAACGCGCTGGCTCATGATTTGAACTATCCGGCCCTGAGGAGAAACAAAAACATAGAGGCCTTTCTCAATCGACGTAAGAGCGACTGTGTGTTTGGTGACGGTCAAGATACTTGACAGCGTGACAAATATCTATACGGCCGTTAATTGCCCTTTTCATGCCGCGTTCTGGAGACTGAAGAGACACTGGTGGTGGTTGTTTGCACAACAAGGTCACGCGAGAGATGAGAAGTGTGTATATTCTGGTGTCCCTGACCGATTCTACAGCCAAATTATTA